GCACGGAGCCGCCCCTACCTACACCCACCCATGCCTCTAGCCCATAGGAAGGAGCTGCCCACTAGCTGCTCATTTCAGGTAGGAAAGCGCAGGGCAGGCCCTATCTATAGGCGCGGAAGTAAGAGAAGGTTTGTTTCCTACCGTTACGCCGGGGGCTCGTCCGCGTCGTCCCTCGCTGCTTCTCTCGCTGCGCCCCTCACTGCTCGCCGTGCCTTCTTGCGCCGGCCGTTGCGCTCCATAGTCCAGGATGTGCTTGGTGGCGGCGGCGGTGCGTAGCGGCGCGCCTCTCCGTCTGGTCGGGCTGCCTCCCCCCTGTTGGGTTGGCCCCACCGAGGGCCGCAGTGTCCTTCTTCACCTGGTGGGCGGCCGAACTCCCCTGTACGGCTGCCCTTTACCCTTGCCGTGTGGGGGTGGGGGAGGTCTTCACCTTGGCGCAGGTGGCGGTCGGGGCCGAGCCGCGGGCGACGGCGACGTGCCCCAGGCCGAAGAAGGGCATCACCGCGAGGTCATTGTGTCCGCCACGACTTTTGCTCGCATTGTAGGTCTCAGTTAGAGTCTAGGACTCTAGTCGCCAGTGACCAGAAAAAAATAAGTCATTGACATATAGTGAGTGAGTAGAGTTTCGGGGGGGGGGGGGCATTTGTGGCACATGAACATGTCTTTTTGGAGCACACGATGATCTGTTCATACCGCAGCGATAAATTGTTAGTGATCCAATCAAACTAACTCTCCCGATCCATCTTCCTCGCGACCTCTTATTCCGGACCAGCCTCATTCAAATTAAGATGTCGCTAAGCGCCCCCGTGATCCAAATCCCTTTTAGCGACAGCGACAGGGGTCGCGCGGAGCATTGCAAGGAGGGGGAGGGGGGGAGAGGGAGGGGTGGGGAGGAGGAGGGGAGGAGGAAGGGGGTTTGGAAGGGGAGGGGAGGACTGTTAGTCTGGGAGAGAGACCACCGCTAATTATTCATGTGACACGCGCTGGCGCGCTTATTCAAAGTGGCTCAATAGTGTGCGTGTGCGACGTGTGAAGTTATTGTATCTGGTGCGGCCATTAACAATCGTGGAAAGAAATTGAAGGTACCAGGTGGCTGATTAACCCCCGGCCCGCTCACTTCTGTAGTTATGCTGTACCGGGTGAGTCAGAGAAGACGCAGGTGCGCACGGGTTTGCCTATCCTCGACTCGGCGGGCGCACGGGTCCCCTCCTCACCTCTCCCCAGACCCAGACCTGGACCCGTGCGCCCGCCGAGTCGAGGATAGGCAAACCCGCCCGCACCTGCGTCTTTTCTGAATCACCCGGTACAGCATGCACCAGCGCGGGCGGGCTTGCCTGTCGCCCCTGTCCACGGTGCCTCTTACGAGCGAGTAGGCAACCCTCCCGCACTCATGCGTGCGGTACAGCATAACTACAGAAGTGAGCGGGGTTAATCAGCCACCTGCATGTGGTATAAGCATCACGAGAAGTAGTATTTGCTCATTGGGCTGATTGATAGGAAGGAAGACGTCCGAAGGGTACAGAAATCAAAGGGGGTCCTGCAGGACCTCATGAGGAGCTTCAATGGTATGAGGACCCAAACAAAGAGCTCTGTGAAGAATGTTTGTCCTTCGTATGCGCTAGTTTACGACCGTGCTGTAAGCTGAGATCATAGATAACTTCTCTCTGGCTGAGATAGCGACTGCGGGCTGCTCTCGTTAGCGGCCGGGCGGCAGACGGGCCCTTCGGGTACCTTGGAGAGCCCGGTCCGCTCTCACTCCCGACTTCCGCCCTCCCGCTCGCTATCTTCCTTATACCCGATGGCTGATGAAACCCCCTCACTTTGTGGTACTGTGCATTGTGCAACCCGCCCGCACGACTCCATCAGGGACTGCCTACCCACCAGGCGCTGGGGTCCAGCCCAGCACTTCGCTTCGCGACTGTTGTCGCAACAAACGCCCTGAGAGGAGGGGGCCCTCACTTAAGGTGGATCTCCAATGGAGCAATCTACGCTACCCATCACCCATCATCCGTCACCCATCACTTGCTATTTCGTGATTTTACATCGAGAAATACAATCATATGGTGTATAGTCCTCCTATTTATTGTTCACACACATCCTTAGTCTTAACCACAACCCGAGTTGTACGCGTAAATACACGAAATCGCAAGTGATGGGTGACGGATGATGGGTGATGGGTAGCGTAGATTGCTCCATTGGAGATCCACCTTTAGATAGGCAATCCTGCATCCGATCTCGATACAGTAAAACCGGAAGAAAGAACAGGGCTAACGTGAAAGGAAAGGGCCATCACATGGAGAGTATGCTCTCGCAAAAAACATAATCGTGTTTCGAGTAGGTGACCAACTAACTTTGCCGCGTAGTCGCGTCCTTGCCCGAAACGACCGAAACTTAAACAGCGCCTCCGGCCGCCCTCTGCGTCCCGCGCACCGCGCACCCAGCACACGGCGTGGCGCTCAGCTTCGCTCGGACTCGCTCGGCGCTGCAGGCACAATGCCGGCGCGTCTTGTGTTGGGTCTGCGGTGAGGGTGTTTACCCATCGGATGACACGGTCATTCGACAAGCTTTGCTAGCGGTCGCGATATTCCCACAGCATCTCCCTCCCCACTGCACCCTCCCCTCCACTGTCCCTCCCCTCTCCAGCGCCGCACCCTGCCGCACCCTGCCGCACCCTGCCGCACCCTGCCCTTCAGGGCGGCTCACACTGATTTTCCGCCTCATGTGCTGCCGGTCATATGCTCTACTTAGCCTCCAGGGGTGCCCTCTCGTCCCCCTCCCCCCTCCACCCTCTTACACCCTCTCCCACCCGCGGCCGCAGAGTTAGTGTGTGAATTGTTTGTTGGTGGCCGGACGCGACTTCTACGCTGCTCGACGTCGGCCGGTTTTGGTTTATATTTTATCAGATTCTCCCGATCCTCCAAACTACCAAACATGAGCACGTACCGGTAGTGCGGGTGTAGCCCGGCGTGCGGGAGCGTGCTGGGCGCAGCTGTGTGTCATAGTGACGTTTACGGGGCGTATGCTCTATACTGGTAGAATTTTAGTTTCAAAGCCTATGTAATACAACCTAATACAAGTAATATGCAATACACTGTGCACGAAAATTCCGAATGAAAACATCATCGCTTGTTACGCTCGTGCCAGTAGCGTGAGCGAAAACGACTGACTGGATATTACATGGGAGGGAGGAAGTTTAGAAGGCACGCTGCACTGAGCGTGGCGTGAGCGTAAGTTTTTAGTTGAATAGCTGAGGACGGGGATGTGTCGTAAATTGTGAAGCGGACTGTTTGGAGAGCAGGGAAGAGAAATCGAACAATATAATACAGCAAACGTAAAAATCATCACGAGCTCACTCTGCTGACGGGAACCTCCCCCCCCCCCCTCCCTCTCTGTCTGTCTGTCTCTCTCTCTCTCCATCAATATATCTCCCCCCCTCCCTCCCGCCCTCCCCCCTTCACCCCTCGCCTGGTCGCACGCGCGGCGGGCGTTGAGCTTGTTTGGAGGTGCTTGTGGGCGATAAACGATCATCACATGACGCGCATCCTCTTCGGCTGCCGCTGTGCTTCCCTCCCTCCCCTCCGTTAACTGAGTTGGACAGGTCCTGGCGGCTGCAAACACAACAAGACGCACCCCATCGCGCCGTGCGTGTGGTTGTTAAGGGATGCCCGCAAAGGTACAGCCCATACCCACCCCGAGACTGGTGATGCCTCAGCAAATGGCTCAATCTGCTGCCTTGGGGGTGGCAAAGAGTACGACCCTTACCCCCAGGCGTGGTTTGCACGACCCAGCAACAACCGGTGCAAATTACGTCGCACAGGTGCTCGACATCTCTCTGTTGACATACCATGTGTACCGGGAATATCCATACTGTCTACTTTGGGACACAGGGGGTGTCGTACCTTTGAAGCCCCCACCCCCTCCTCCTGCGCCCCCGCGCCTGCCCGAGGTTCCGCACTATGCGGTTAAGTATCACACAAAGAAAACGGGGTCTATTGGGCGGGGCACTCGGCAACTCTGTGTGCACTGCGAAGTGTCCGAGATTTTAGAAACGGCCGTAAAAAGCCTCACAATTCAAACATTTTGTTGATGGGGTAGGCTGTGTGGCGCTCTGGTGTGAAATGAATTCCGTCGAGTTTTCGCTCGCATTTGAATGGTCGTCTCTTGCAGCTGAGCTCGCACGTGAGCACTGCCGCCGTGCGCTTGGCGTGCGCTTGGCGTGCGCGTGCCCGGCGGCCGGCAATTGAAAGCAGCAGGTCGCGGCGCGGCGCGTGGCGGTGCGGGTGGCGCGTGGCGGCTCTACGTACCACGTACGCCATGGGGCCGTGGGCTGTGCACGTGCAGCCCGATAGATTTGTCACGCTGTATGTGTATCCCCGCAAGGCAGGGCGCCACCCAATCACTGTCGCTAGTTTGTGTTTGAGTTTTAGTGGTCCATCCTTTTATATTCATCTCAGCAGCGGTACTTTGGTCTTCGGGTCACGAAAGCGGCAGTGGTGTGCTGCGGGCGCTGAGATACCGTGCCGCCAGGCCATGCTGGTAAGCCGTGCCGGCAGGTTCAACCACTTTCCTGCGAAAACAGCTTCAATAAGACGATCGCAAGCGTAGCCCCGCGCGGCATCGCCTACCCAGCATCGTGGGGGCACCTAAAGAGAAGCATGATAATTAATGTTTTAAATTGTGTCGTTGAGAGATAGGTTTGCAACCTCCTAGCCTCAAGCTAAAACAAAGTGAACTAAGATGCAACTTTTAATTCATAATTCCAAAAACGTTTCTAATCCTCATAGAGGTGTATATAAAGGCTGCACATTGATTGAAACCTTGTCAAATACTGCTTTCTGGATGTATCGCGTAGTTTTCTTTTGTTGCTTTCTGCTTTGTTTTGGTTCCCCGCTACTCTCCGCCACACTGGGCAACTTCAGGTATCGCGACCGCCGCACGACTACATTCAAAATTGCCCTCCACTTTTGTTCAGACCGCACCTTAAGCAAGGCGCCGACGTTGTCCGCCTCCGCCATGTTAGGTTGAAGAATAAATGTTATCAGCTGACGAGAGAGGGACGTTGTGACGCGAAACATTTGTATTATTTTATCCGCGATCATCAGCGTCCCCTCGCGTCTTTGTACACTTGTAATTACTTTAGAAGAAAAAATGAATAATTTCGTGAATATGTGGAGAGTGCGGGAGTTGGCGGACAAAGTGTAAGTATTCTATAAGTTGACAGCGATAACCAACCTCTCTTTTTTTCGACAACTGTTAGGCCTATTATGCAATTTTTGCTTTAACCGTCCATAATTAAAATGCTCGGACGTCATTCAAATCCCAAATCAATTGCTGCTACTTTTACTTTTTCTTCTTTTTTCAAAACTCCTGTATTTCTTTCCTCTCGACATGAAAATTGTCCGTACAATCTGTTGTCTTAATCTAGAGACTTGGCAAATAAATCATATTTCGTTTTTCCCTTTTCACACCAAGCGACTTCACACTTCACTATTTCATTTGAAATGTACTTATGTCCATCGTAAGAGGTTTTAACTCAATATCAATCCATACATCGATAATTTATTTCGGTGTTGTCTGGGTTGTTGACAGTAAAGGGAACTGTCAAAGTGTCAGGTTATATCAACAGGTCTTATTCTTTTTATAAAACAATTACAGGATCATAGAATTCACGTGTCCTCCATTCATTTTAAAAAAAAATTCATTTTAATTTGTTGAAAATTAGAATGAGTAGAATCAATTTTTGTAGTTGATAAGTGTTTTGGGGAATATAGTATGTTAACTTGAAATTTGTTTCTGTTTTATCAGCACCAATGTGGTTATGAACTACACTGAAATAGAAGCAAAAGTTAGAGAAGCTACTAATGATGAAGCCTGGGGTCCTACAGGTAAGAAGCGTGTCTTAACAAAACTGCCATTTTTGTTGTGTGTAGCACAAGCTACTTGTCAGATTGTGTCAAACACTCTTGATATTCATTATCTTGCTTGTAGGCGCTCTAATGCAGGAAATAGCTCAAGCCACCTTCACTTATGAACATTTTCCTGAAGTAATGCAAATGCTCTGGAAACGTATGTTACAAGACAATAAGAAGAATTGGCGAAGAACATATAAGGTTCGAATTCTAGTTCCTTTTTACAAAATAATAAAAAAAATTTGTTTGGAATATTTGTTTACTATGCATTTCTTTTTAGTCTCTATTGCTTCTGAACTATTTAGTCCGGAATGGATCTGAAAGAGTTGTAACAGCTGCTAGAGAACATGTCTATGATTTGAGATCATTAGAGAATTACACTTATGTTGATGAACTGGGCAAAGATCAAGGAGTGAACATCCGTCACAAAGTCCGAGAGTTGATGGATTTTGTACAGGATGATGATCGGTTACGTGAAGAGCGCAAAAAGGCAAAAAAAAATAAAGACAAGTACGTTGGGATGTCAAGTGGAGCTATGGGTGGACGATATGGTAAGTTGTTTAGTTTTTGATAAGAAGTTAGTTGTTTTGTCTGTCCAGTCAATACAAGTTTGATGTTAATGTTAGGAGGAGATCGATGGGAAGAGCCACGCTGGAGAAGGGAAGAATATGGTGATTGGGGTGGTGGTGGCAACAGTGAAAGGACTCAAGGCTTTGAAGAAAAGTCCTCTAACAGGTGAGAGAAAAAATTAAGAAAATAGCAGTTAGTTACATTTTGCATTGAAAACCTAAATGAAACAATTACATTCACTTTGCAGTGATGAGGGTGAAAGGTATGATTCAGATCCTGAAATTAACAGTGCGAGATCTAGAAATTATGATAAAGAGCGCAGTGGCAAAGAGTACAAAGACAATGACAGTATTGGATCAGGAAGCGCAGTTTCCTCGCCAACATCGCCATCAGAGAGAGGCACTACTAAGTCTGCCTCCTCCCCAGTAAAGAAGTCCTCTCAACCCAGCAAAAAGGTGGATTTAGGAGCAGCTGCACACTTTGCAAAGGTTTGTTTTTGTTAGAATTTGAAAAATGTTTACTCAGTTAGGGTTATTATTAATGATAGTTAAAAAAAAAAGCCTATTTGTGTCAAATTTGGAGGTTGACTAGTTATCTGAAAATGTATGTACTTGTCATATCTTTTGCTTGTCAACCTCAAGTTGTTTATTTTTTTATAAATATTCTTTTGTGTCTCCAACAGGCAAATTCAAGTGCTACTAAACCAAACAACTCATCAGACTTTCTATCTGACATTTTGGGAAAAGATACACCTTCTTCATCACAGACAGCTGATGACTTTTTCAACCCTCGTGGTGATGCTGATCCATCTCCTGGAGATTCATCTGATTTTGGTGATTTTACTAGTGCATTTGGTTGTAATCCTACTGCAGCTTCAACTGATCCATCAAAAGTGAAGTTAGTCTATCTCTATCTAATTACTTTTTCTCCTTTGTTTCTAAGTACCTCCTAAATTCTGACTAATTTTTCTTGGTTTTATTAGGGAAGGAACTGATGAGTTTGCCGACTTCAGCTCAGCCTTTTCTAGTTCATCTGTGCCAAGTGGGACTCCTTTTACTATTCCTGGGAACGCTGTATCACCAAGCCAAAATTTAAACAATGGGAATGTTATCAGCAGCCCAAGTATGATTGTGATGAAGTAATTTAAGTAATTGAAGATGAACTGAGTATTACTGAATGTACTTAACATGTAACTTTTCATTTCAGATGAAGGGGATTTTACTAATTCTGACCTTTTGGGAGGACTCACAAGTGGTTTCTCATCATTAACAACTGGTAGCAGCTCAACAAATGCCACAGTTATGGTGAAGAATAACAGCAATTTATTGGATGACACATTCAGTTCTGGTAAGTTAAAGCTCTGCAGCATATTAGACATTTTCTGATAACAAAACTTTAAAATTGTGGGAAAGATGATATTTTAACTTCAATGTTTTGTTGGTGCATTTATATATCTATTTAAGTTTGAAACTTGCAGGGGAGAGTTTATTTCATTTGCCTCTTGCAATTGTTTTATTTTAAACTATTTATCTTGTTTGAGTGCAAATTCTTGTGCATGTTAAATTTGAGCTAAATCAGGAAAGAATTAGCCAACAACGTTAGATTTATCACTTGCACAGAATGGGAGACTGGTTTGGACGCAGCCATTGTGATCCTGCTTGATGACTTAGCCAAGAAGAAGTCACGTGATAAACCACTGGAAGACAACTTGCGACGTGTAGCTCAATATATCCCTGGCGTCATCACAACTCAACGCTTTGAGGGCCTGGATGAAGCAAGTTATGTTGTGCAAGAAACCTGGAACAAGCGGTATCCTGAATTGATCAGTGCTCTTACTGCAAGAATCAGCTCTGACTGGCCCTTGGATAATACAGGAACTCTTGACAAATATTTTGCCCTGATAATTGCTCCTGATGGTGCTTCACCATCCATGTTGTACTACTCAATGAAGACATTAGTGCAATTGTTACAAAACATACCTCTCTCTCGCCGCAGTGATGCAGTTATAGCTTTACTTATCAAACTAATTCACAGCTCAGCTGTTTTTTCATCCACCTTGTTCTGCTGTGTGGAGTTAACCAAGGAGGGTAATTCTCTTCAGCACCACTTACTGAAGGATGAGTGGGAAGCTTGCGTGAGAATGCTTGTATCCCTTCCAAGTAGATCTGCAAATGTTCTTAAACACAATACCCCTTTAGAAATCTTGCCTTCTCAGTTTTGCAAAGTCTTGTGCTTTCATGTTGCTTGTTGTTTATCTTTTATTGCAAATTCTGATAAAACTGTGAATATACTTCCCCTCTCAATGCTTGTAAATTGTATTTTGGTCAATTTGAAACCACATTTGAAGGACTCAGGTGTAGTTATTTTGATACGTGCTCTCATAAAATGGTGTGCAATGGATTTAGGAAAGGTTCGAATGATTAGTTCTTTATTGCTGGTCTCCTTGAATAGGCAAGCCATTGAGACAATAAGTGACATTATTTTGAAAGAATGCTATGATCTTGGCTGCAAAGCCCAGTATGTTTTGGGAAAAGCAGTATTAGAGTCAACAGATTGGAAATATGTTCTTTGTACCAAAATTCCTTTCCTCAAATATTCAGACTACAGAGATGTCAGAGTGATCTCTTCTTTGGCTCAGTACTTCAAAGATTCACCAGACCTAAAATTGATTTTAAAAGACATTGTGACTCGTCTTTTGTCAGTTTGGGGAGACCACAGTGCATTGGTTCATACTCCACTTGAGCAACATATCTACATCACACAGGCATTAGTAATGTTTACAATGAGTTTTTCTAGTTCTGCTGATGAGCAATTCCCAGTTGTCTCATTAAAACACCTTTTCAAAGGGGTTCAGATTCATCTAGAATCCCCTGTTACTCAGATTCGTGCAATTGGCATGATAACTGCTGAGCTACTGTCAAAACAGCTTCTTATTGAGGCTGTGAAATTTGACTACAGTGGCATGGACTCTGATAGCCTCCAGTTAGTTCAAATGATAAGAAATCTGAATATTGAATTAGGGGATTGTAGAAGAACTGAAGAAGACGGCAACTCTATTCTCCTCTCCGTTGCCAAAGACAGTGGTTTTGTACGAAACAACAAAACACAGTACAGTAAACCAGAATATGTTATACCGATAGAGGTAGAACCACCTGCTTCCTCATCAAAGATTCTTTCCACTTGTGAACCCTCAGAGGAATTGGATAGTGATGATGACTTGGTGCCATTCGACTTATCAAACGATAAATCATTGTCAGATCGTAAGAAACCCATTTATCTCCGGGATATGCTCGAAGGGCTGTATGAAGTAGAAGATATGGATCGATGGTGTGGAAGCCTTATCGTCTGCGAAGATCTTGTCACAAACCAATTACCCGATGAAGATGAATCACTGGCAATCAACATTCTTGAAGCACTAGTTGGACTTGAACCTCGATTTCCCGTTGAAGACTTCAGTGGACTGCAGATGAAGGGTACTGTTGCTGTCTTAATCATCAAACCTACAGTGTGTGCCGAACACCTTTCCAAACTTTTCCATCAGGGAAGTAGTACATTCTCTATTAGGCAGCGATTATTTATGTTACATGCGATGACAGAGGCATCCCTTGCAATGTGCTCTGCTCCATCAAGACCAAAACCTAAAGAAAGTGTCATTGATCTAAATGCCCACGAGAGTAAGTTCTCTGGATGCACTGGGTTTCTGGAAGAAGTTCTTGATGAATTTGCTGACCTCATAACTTTTGAAAATGATGCTTTCCCCAAATTGTGGCAGAAGCAGATTGACAAAAGAGTAGCTTTAAAGACAAGACGGGTTACCTCAAAAACAAGAGTACCTTTTAATTTTGTTTCACGATTTGCCCCTGTAGCAGGATCTTTTTTCTTCCCACTCATCAGAGGAATCACTCAAAACTGTGGCACCATTGTACTTTTGCATCAAGAGAGATCTAATGTTCAGGATGATACTGTAATTCTTCTCAGGTTTATTTTAACTCTCTCTGTTATTATGCAATGCTCTGAAAATGCTCCTGTAGCTGCTCGTATGGGTGCAGAACTGCTTGAATTTGTCTGGAGTGTTAGGTACCATACTGAAGCCAGTATTCGACTGGCAGCTATTGGATGTGTATTGAGTGTAGTGTATGCTGTGCCACAGTCTCGTTTACAAGGTGACTTAAGACACGCTGTTCTTGATGCCAGAGAGTGGCTGCAGAGTATTGCATGTGGACCTATTGGTGTTCAAGACATTGATTCAAAATGTCGAGAACTTGCTAGAAAAGTTGGAACTTTGACTGATGTTGCTCTTACTTCACATAGTTCATGATAATACTTTCTTGCTGTAATATTTCCTGAAATCCTGTTATTTTGTATCTCATTATCATTTCAATAAATATCTCATGAAAATTAATATACTAGTTTCTTTATGCTATGTTTGCCCTTTAGTTGATTAAACATAAAATTGAAATAGCTATAAGTGCGACTAAGGTTTTTAAGGTTTATCCTTGATTGAGAATGCCTTTTTTTTCTGTTTTGTTTAAGGTACTTCTAACAGCTTGCTAAATGCAACACCCTTAACCCCATTGAGTACCCAAAATACCATGTCAATGTCAGCCAACATGAACCAAGCCGCATCTCCTCTTCAGGTAGTTGTTCTCTGATTTATTGATGAAAGATACAGTTCAACTTGAATATATTCAAATATTTTGTAATATTATAGCTTGGAAGCACATGGACTAATGCTGGACTCAATATCGATGTTGATAATTTAACTCTTTCTGGTAACCGGAACAAGAGTGGGACTGGACCCTCAATGAACCAATTGGCCACCAACAGTCCTACTTCTCCACTTGGAAGACAAGGTAATTTACATTTTAATTTATTTTCTGTTGTCAAGAAAGTTTTTTTTTTCTAATTCTTTTAGGTTTCTTATAACCATTTATTTCACACAGGTCTAGGCCCCTCCTTTGCCAACATGATACCAATTGCTCAATCGGGGCCCACAGTGCCCGTAATGGGTGGTAGTGGCCTGATGGGGTCTCTTCCTTCATCTGCTCCATCGCCTGTTCAGAGCCCAATGCTCTCTAGCCTACCAGGAAGAGTTTCAACATTGCCTGGTGCAATGCCTGGTACACTGCCAGGTGGTATGCCAGGTGCAATGACAGGAAATCTTCCTAGCTCTGTGCCCGGAACCCTGTCTGCCCCTGGATCAATGCCAGGCATGGCTCCTTTAGGGATGATGCAATCAAACACAATGTCTAGTAGCCCTGGATTTTTTCCTGCCACTTTTAAATGAGAACTCTGATTGAGCTTTAAAGTAAATACCTAGATTTGTATATATGTCTATGCAGCTGTGGGCGCCCCCACATGTGATATGATGTATTGTTCATAAATGCTCAATGGAGATACTGAATATGTGTAAGATTTCTTATCTTTCTGACATTATATCAAAGGCCAAATTTTGGGAGCCCTGCTTTTTTTTTTCATTGTCTTTTCTGTGTAAGGGCAGAAAAGAAGTAATAAAACAAGAGCTCCTACAATAAATTGAATACCTTTTTGAACCAATTATCAGCTTTGAAAGCAGAAAAACATAAGAGCCTCTTACATAGGTTTTCATTTGTCATTGCAGGATTATCATTGTTGTTAGTTATGTATTGAATTGCTCAGCCCACTGACATATATTGTTGTGTTCACTTGGGCTTCAAGATTTACTTATGAGAGTATATGAATCAACTTCAATTGTGATGCACCCATTAAATTTGCCGCATCTGTAATGTAATTTTAATGGACCTTTTTTTTTTTCTTTTGAAAGAAGAGGGTAAATTGTATAATTTATAGTTATTATTTGGGTTTAGTCTGTGTTATTCAGGCCATTCTACACAAATTTTAAATAGGTTGTTTTCAAAAGAGCTTTTATAAAATGTCTTCCACATTGAGCACCTTCTTTCAGTGCTCCACTCTTGCAGCTCCCATTACTTCCCTGGGACCAATCAGAGCCATGTATAAGTCAAGTTTAATTTTTTAAATAATGCTTCACTGAAGATCTTGGGTTTTTCCTTCATCTTTTCACGTGCAATTTTAGTTGATTTTTGTTATAAGTTTTACTGTTAATTTTATTAGAAAAATAATTGTTACCAATGCTTTATTTCAAACACCACTATAGTTTAATAGGCAAAGAGAGAACAAAACTGCAGCTTAAATAACTGTGCTGTAAAGAATTTGTTTCTCCAAAGCTTATGCCAAAGCATTCCACAAATTAATTCAACAATGTATTTATTGTGAAGAATTAAGATCCTTGAAGCTATTATAGAAATTATGCCCTGTGTGTTGTATGTCCTGGTTAGTTTTGCCCATTTTTTCAATGTATTACATATCCTTTGCTGGTTTTATATCATCTTAAAATAAATATTTCTCCCTTTAGCAAACCTCTTTTGTTGCACAAAATGAGATTTGCAATGGTTTCTATTCTAAACCACCATTGTGTAAAATTTTGGCTCTAAGCAAGATATTGTTGTAGTTATGCAACTATTGTCAATTGCATAAGGTTTTGGGATTGTTTAGCTAATATTTGCTCATGCCTTATTAACTTAAAGAGAAGTCTGCTTGTATTGTGCCTAAAAAACCAACAACAAAAAGTGGTTTAACAGGTACAGATGTGTCAATGCCCTCCATTTGTTTTTAACTTTGGGAATATTCCTGAAATATTTTTCTCTATCTTGTCTAACAATACTGTTAGTTATTCACTAACACTGTTTTGTACTTCATGTGCGATGAGATAACTGTAATGTACAACTGTAAGTCTTTTGGTTATCCGGTACTGCCCAATTTTGTATCACCAAGGTAGCATACCAAGCGACGCAAATCCGAATGTGATAAAACCGTTAAGCTTATCATATTTTCCCCTACTTTCCGTAATATGGAAATTTTCAAATTTTGCAAAAAATTCTTATGGGCATAGAATAAAGCAGTTTCCAATCATTTAAGTTTAACGCATGCACACCTTTTACATATTTGTTGATTAATTTATAGCAAGAATTTGTCTAGGCTGGCAGTATTTCTTTGCCATTACCATCAGTTCAAGATGCTGGTGCAAACTAACTTGAAGTTTTTACTTTGTATTCTCTACTGTGAATGTTGTCATGCAAGTGTTGTATATTTTTGTTACATATATAGATCTTATAATTCTACCATAATGTTATGATCAATTGGAGATTTTTTTATCTATGAGAATGTAATAATGCTCATAAAGGGATTTTGGTGCTGGTTTTCTGTTTAAAATGTAAGGTCCACTTGAGAATAAGCACCTTTCTAGTGCTGAACTGTCTCATTACTTTAAAAACAAATATGACTTGCCACGTCTGTAGTGTAAGTTGGCTGAGAATTATGCTCCAATGAATTGATTCATTATCATCTGGCAATTGTACAACTATTCATAGCAGTGTGACATGAAGTAAGCATTTAATGCTATGATTAAATATTTAAATCAGAAACAATTTTATTCAAATCAAGATTTATTAGATAATATTTGAACATCATTCATCAGTACATTCATTCTAAAAGTTCAACATTCATCACACAGGATGGTAAAACTGTAGGGGACAACTATCCTCTGAACTATGGCAACAATATACAAAACTTATTCACATCACATCACAAGGAAAATGCAACTTTGACCAGAAACGGTGCTTCCAACCCGCAATAGTGTTTTCGGAAACCAGCTGGCCACTCACTGAATTTTAAAACTACAATGAGATGAACTCGGGGTATGGTAATGATACACATGGGTGGCTTATTCACGACTCGATTTTAGCAAGAATGTCAGATTCTCTGAATAGCTGGAACTCTTTGTTTTCAGATAGCTCAACCTTAGTGCCACCATACTCTGGTAGAAGAACCTGATCACCAACTTTAACAGAGACTGGGACATGCTGCCCATCCTGTAAAACAAAGCATGGTGTGAGAACAAGAAGACTGACCAAAATACACATTACAGACTAATTCAAAAAATGCTTACGCTATTTCTGCTGCCTGGGCCAACAGCTACAACTGTACCAGTGAGTACTTTACCCTGTGCCTTCTCAGGAATAACAATACCCCCCTTGGTCTTAGTGACAGCCTCTGCTCTTTGAATGAGAACTCGATCAAAGAGAGGAACCAATCGCTTAGCTGATGCTAAAGCTGACTGTGCTACAGCAGATGCCTGAAACCACCAGAGAGACCTTAATAAATGGTAACATAATGGAAGCACACAGAAATGACACAGATCACGAGCAAACAGATGACTACAAAGACAACCATAGTATTGACAAATTTTACAGTTTATAACACGAATGGAAATTAAAGGGTAAGATCAGAGATGGGTCATGAAAGTCTACTGAATTAAATGAAAAAGACAGCTAAGTAAAGTGAAGAAATTAACAGTGCTTACCATTTCTAGATGGTTGGGATCAGGGGACTAGAATGACAAGTAAATCACAATGATTGGCCGTCGCAGACTTGAGGGATATTGTGAATCTTCTGATCACGATCTTCACCGGTAAGGGAGAGCAGAACTGAACTGACTGAAGTTCAACCACGAGGGCGTTGATTGTGTAAGATGGAGACTAAGGAGGGGGTAGGGGACATCTCTACACTGTAAAAAGTAGTAAAGATTTTGCCTATATGATTTGATACGTTTTTGAAATACACTCTAGGAGCGAAGAAGTCACAGTTGTATAACTGAACAAATCGCATTCATAATGCCACCCGATTCGAAGTTTTTAATGCAACATCGATAACCATGGAAAGTTACTTGTGTATCCATTATTAACGATTAGAGTCGAACTTCTTCTTTCCCCTCAATCAAGGGATTTCGCCGGTGCCCGCGGTACCGTGAATCTCAGAGTTTTAAGACCACAGAAGGTTTTCATCGTTGGTAATGTGAGCTGCCTGGATCAAGAAGTCTCTTAAAATTCTAGGCTGCTTTCTCAGTCACTTTAAACCTCGTTATCCAGTCTTTAAGAGTTTCGTCAGCCCGCAGTACATTCTAGAAGGGGTTGGGGCCATAGACGAGCACATTAATCGTTTTCGCCAATTATTTGTATTGTCATCACTAAAAGAGTGTATAAATTGACGCTAAGCTAGAGAGCAAATCCTTGAACAATCGAGAGAAACTGTTTGGTGGGTTAATCTTGGGTGTAATCTGTGTTATGCGCAGCCAGCCTGTGTCCCCGCTTATTCTGGGGCCATTCATGTACTTGTTCTTTTCTTCCTCTTTTTTTCACCTCTGCACCAGCAGCCTCCTCCTTCTCGTGGGTTCCGTCCAATCCCAGCACCGACAGTTCCCTCGTGGTCGCCGACAACTGATCAAGTGGAGCTCCGATCTCTCTTTGTATTACTATACTCTTGCATTTACTCCACTCCAAGGTTTAAATTCTATTATCGTGAGTGAAATTGACTGTTGATTGCTAGCAACAGACGTCTTCCTGTTTTATTTTTCTGATTATTGAAGACTGATTGTATGGTGGAACTTTGCATGCCGGTTCGTTGCGTTTGCCCTTTTGCCCTTTCTTTGTCAAATTCAAGTTTCAATCCTTATCAGAATCTTAACTTTAATCGTCTTAGCATTTTCTATTAATTTCTTACTTTCGTCATCGTGTTATTCTCTTTGCCTAGATTCGTATTCTAGATCACAGGTTAGGAATTGCATGGCACCCACTCATGGATTTTGCATCCTACTATTTATCTAGGATTTGGGGAAATCACCTAATTTCTCATGGAATAATACATTATAAATCTGCTTGTTCAACCGTCACTGTGTAGTTTGATAATTTCCACGTCCTAAACAGTTTTTATTTTTTGGTATTTCAATGAGGAATTGTTAAATGACTCTCACCTCACACCATCACCCCTGGAAGTTGACTGTCGTTCCTTGTGTTGCACGTTTTGCTCCACGATTTTTGACTTGTCATAGATTGATAAAGAAATTGCTTCACCCAAGATTGGTTTGAATGCAGGTTCATGTCCACTGCTTGGCTTTGCGGATTTCTACATTTGTATTTTTTTAAATTTGTCACGTTTGCTTGTCTGGTTTTAAATATGTTGAGTTAAGTTCTGCGTAAAATGCTGCCTCTTAGCTTCACGCTTGTCTTGGGTTGTTTTTAAAGGCCTCTTAAAGATGGCTTCTGATTCATCCGGATGTCCCCTGTCGGCTTTCTAGACTCAAACATTTTCCAATGCTTCAGTAATTTAAGAAAGCTTATTTAGCACAGTTCGTATCTGCTTGACATCCGTTCCTTGTGAAAGTACCATCTTTGCTTCACAATTTCACGTTTGTCATAGACTAATAGCAGTTGCTTCACCCAAGATTGGTTCTGATGCATTCAGGTGTCCACTGCTTGGCTTTGCGGACTTAAACATTTTATAATGCATTGCATGAATTATTTATGGATGCTGATTTAGCACAGTTCGAATGTGCTTGACATCCGTTCCTTGTGAAAGTAACATGTTTGCTTCACAATTTCACGTTTGTCATAGACTAATAGCAGTTGCTTCACCCAAGATTGGTTCTGATTCATTCAGGTGTCCACTGCTTGGCTTTGCGGACTCTAACATTTGTTTCTAGTACTAACTGTGACATTTTCTTATTGTGATGTTAAGTTACAAGCATAGTTCTTTCTTCTTCCAGGTTCAAAATGTTTCGGCTGCCAACAGTCTTACGCTCAGTGGCCTTGCGCCAAGTATCTCAGGCACGAGGTTATGCGAAAGATGTCCGGTTTGGTCCAGAGGTCCGTGCTCTAATGCTTCAAGGTGTTGACATCCTTGCTGATGCTGTTGCTGTGACAATGGGTCCCAAAGGCCGCAATGTCATTTTGGAACAGTCCTGGGGTAGCCCAAAAATTACTAAGGATGGTGTCACAGTTGCTAAGGGTGTTGAGCTTAAAGATAAATTCCAAAATATTGGTGCTCGACTTGTCCAAGATGTTGCGAATAATACCAATGAAGAAGCAGGCGACGGTACCACTACAGCTACGGTCTTGGCTAGAGCAATTGCTAAAGAGGGCTTTGAAAAAATTTCTACTGGAGCCAACCCTATTGAAGTGCGCAAAGGTGTCATGCTAGCTGTTGACGCCATTATCGAGCACCTTAAGAGTCTTTCCAAGCCAGTTACTACACCTGAAGAAATTGCTCAAGTTGCCACTATCTCAGCTAATGGTGACCGTAAAATTGGAGACCTTATTTCTAATGCTATGAAGAAGGTACTGTGAAATTAGGTTTTGAGATGTCTGTTTCATTATTTTTTTCGTTATTATCAATTTTGGATTCTCAATTATAGGTTGGTAAAGAAGGCGTTATCACTGTTAAAGACGGCAAGACATTGCATGATGAACTGGAAGTTATTGAGGGCATGAAGTTTGACAGAGGTTACATTTCACCTTACTTCATCAATACTGCAAAAGGTATGTATATTCTTAAAACCCTACTTACTCTCTTGAATTCACCATCTTGAATTTATTACATTATGTTATTTCCAGGTGCCAAGGTAGAATTCCAGGACTGCCTAGTTCTATTTTCAGAAAAGAAAATTTCATCAATCCAGTCTATTATTCCTGCTCTGGAACTGGCTAATACACTCCGCAAACCTCTTGTTATTGTTGCTGAGGATGTGGATGGTGAAGCATTAAGCACACTCGTTGTGAATAGATTGAAAATTGGACTTCAGGTGGCTGCTGTTAAAGCACCTGGTTTTGGTGATAACCGCAAGGCAACACTTCAGGACATGGCAGTAGCCACTGGTGGTATAGTGTTTGGAGATGAAGGCAACCCTGTTAAACTGGAAGATATTACTAAGGAGGACCTTGGTGTTGTTGGTGAATGCCTTATCACTAAGGATGACACGTTGTTATTGAAGGGTAAAGGAAAGAAGGCTGATATTGATAGAAGGAGTGACCAAATCAGAGATCAAATTGAAAACACTACTTCAGAGTATGAGAAAGAAAAGTTGCAGGAGAGATTAGCACGCTTGGCCTCTGGTGTTGCCGTGTTGAGAGTTGGTGGATCTAGTGAAGTAAGTCCTTCTCTACGTAATTTTTGCTTGTTTCGTTATTCTTGATGAAAATAAAAGGCCGTATGAAGCTAAAACTCTCCTACGGATCGAGTTTGGGCAATGTGCAAATTCTTTGAAGCGAATCTGAATTTATTTTCCGTTTTTTTTGCCTTGATTAATTAGAAGATTGCTTCTATTCATGCCTTTACTATTTCCAGGTGGAAGTAAATGAAAAGAAGGACCGTGTAAATGATGCCCTGTGTGCAACTCGTGCTGCTGTGGAAGAAGGCATTGTTCCCGGTGGTGGCACTGCTCTGTTGCGCTGCATCACTAGCCTTGATAGTCTGTCTCTTGCCAACAATGACCAGAAAACTGGTAAGCTTACTGTCAAAATTTTCAACCTTGCATATTTGGTTAGGTTGGAACATTAGGGGGGGGGGGGGGGGTCTGTATTTGGAATGATGGAGAAATTGGATAGACTCTTACACTTCATGTACCACATTTTTGTGTGCCTATTAGTCCTGATGTCAAGTATTATATTTCAGGTGTGAACATTGTTCGGAAGGCTCTGCGTCAGCCTTGCATGCAAATAGCCATGAATGCTGGTGTTGAGGCATCAGTTATAGTTTCTAAAGTTGAGGAAGGAAAGGGTGATATGGGTTACGATGCATTAAATAATGAATTTGTTAACATGATTGAGAAAGGAATTATTGATCCCACAAAGGTAAAGTATTTTTCAACTTTGAATTATTTTATTATGATTTAATATTGTACTTGAACATTCCATTTGTTCGTTGTTACAGGTCGTGAGAACTGCATTGACTGATGCTGCTGGTGTTGCATCTCTTCTTACAACTGCTGAAGCAGTAGTTACTGAGTTGCCCAAAGAAGATTCACCTGCTGGTGGAATGGGCGGCATGGGTGGAATGGGCGGCATGGGTGGTATGGGAGGAATGGGTGGTATGGGAATGTAAATCATGCATTCGCCATCTCATGTGCTCCATATCCCATTGTGTGCTAAGTTAATTGGCCATCAGTGACTTACTTATAGCTGGACTGTAAGCGTGCTATAAGTGCTCTACATGTGTAGTGTATTCAAGACTTGAGGGCTTCATAGGTGTTCATCGTGCCCTGTAACTAAAGTTATTTGCATTTCTTGTTTTAATTGTTACCTGTGTTTGAGAAGATCAAAGAAGATAATTTAGGCTCAAGTGTAGTATCTTGCCTGCTAGTCATAAGATCTGGAAAAACAGAGCTGGTCTAAACTTATGAACTTTGTGTTGCTTTGAATTTATCAGAGTCTATTTCCTTAAAAGCTCTCATGTTTTAGTCAGTCAAAATATTTTAACTTTGTTAAAGTGTCACCAGTGTATGGAAAATTTTATTGGACCAATTTGGTCTTTGTTGGTGCATTGTCCTTGAACTTGTTCAGCAGGTGTTTTCTCATTCCATTATTGTGGTTTTCATTTTCCAGATCTCCCATGAATTTCTTTTCAACTTGTACATAATACTGCCATCACCTTAGTACATACTAGTAATTCATACCATCTCCTGTTAATTTTGTACTTTGCTGTATTTGTAATACAGAGAGATCAGTTAAACTTGTTTCTTTTCATTCACCCTGTACCCAACAAATTACTTTGAAAAAATCAAAGTATGAGAGCATTTAGTTACAGGTGGCAATTTGCTTATTTTTAAGGAATTGTCAAAGAGACCTGTAAGTTAGACTAAATCGAATATCAGGAACTACTGAAATCCCAAATATTACATTATACCTCTACAACTTGCACCACAGCAAACAATAGACCATTGAAATTGTAGGATTCACAGAAAAACACAAAATGGAAATTACTATATGGTTTTATTTATTTTGACATGTGTCGTTATGTAAAATACCTTGTACTTGTACAACAGTATACGCTATATAAAAGAAAACAATTTTTGGTTCAACGCAAAGCATAGACAATTTATCACATTTCAGTTTCTTGCATTTGACCTATCAGATTTCTCATGTGTGTTTGAACACCACAATATACACGTGACTTCAAAAAATTGGCAATCTGCACGAAATTGCTGAATAAGCTACTGAATAAATAAACATAATAGCTAAACCATCTGCCTGCAAGCAGAATCTTCAATGGGAAGAACAGCAAAAATCTGACAGAGCAGCAGAAATACAAAATTGATGTACAAATTTTTATAAGTTTACAAAAGTATGATTTTTATCTTACCCAACCATTGAGTAAGATCACTCTTCCATGAGCGGAAACAGTCAATTATATACCATACCTGGGCATAGATAACATACATTCAAACATACAATAATCCACAGACACACACACACACGCACGCACAGTTCACTTGAAACTCATTGAAGTAAAACATTTTACAGAAATCTGATCTCAAAACTGTGACATAAAAAGGAATACTTCTTTCAAAATAAAATATTTGATACACTTCAGGATGTACAATAATATTTTGGCTAAAACCAAAAAATATTTCCAATAACTTGTGGAAAACCGGAAAAAACTAACGGCACAATTATCTACAGATTGTATTCAAACTGAGCATAAACAGGCAAGGATACAAACAATAACAGGGTCATTAATGTTAATTGATAAGGATTGACAAGTTAATTAACTACCATTACTTCTAAAACACTGAAATGGAACCACACAGGAGATTGTGTAGGCAAAAAATTGAACATTAGCACTCCCACTCTTCAAATGCTGCTAAGGACAGGTTTCGAAAAGCAATCCAGAACAAATCAACATAACACAAACATACAAGATGTTATGAATGACAATTTGTCATCAGTTAAGTATAATTAGATGAGATTGGAACCGAATATATGGCAATAGCAGAAAGTTAAAATGGTTACTAGCCACGCCACCATATTTACTTCAAACAAGCAACTGGATTATCAGAAATCATTTTGGACTGTAGATTTGTGAGAGATAATGAGACTAAAAAAATGAAAGCACTTTATATGTATTTGTTTCTTTAGACATCTCTAATTAAAGCTCCAAGCCTTGGGACAGTAGAAAATCAGATGACTCAAAAGTAGTGGGTGAATTCTGTTTGCATTGTCTACAAACCCCTGACCTTGCTTACACTACACATATATCACCTTGTCAACTTTGAGCTTTGACACAAAATCACTAATCAACAAGTGTGCAAACGCACACACCAATTTAATTAAACTCATTCAGAAGACTAGTGCTTACATAAATATGTATAACTAAAAAGTAATACTTCATTGTAAACTGTAAATCAGCCCATACAAACGTTCAATATCTATTGCTATGGATGTTACAAAACTGGAGCTTGTCACAATTCTTGAAAAATTGTTACTAATTTGAAAATTTCTTTGAAAGGGTTGTGGTGAATTGCTCATTGAAACTGAAAGTACATGCCCTGTAAGAGGAGGACTAGACACAAGACATGACCAGTACTAAACAAAGAATATCTCCACTAACAACAACATCATTCAAAAGAAATTTTTAAGTTGACTATGGAAAGATAGAGGTCAGAACTTTATATAAAGCTACATAAAACATATGTTGATTTAAAAATTGAAAATTTCACATTATCTTTTAAGATTTAAGTTTGTAGCTAGTACAATAGACATTCTTGCACTATATTTACTGGAATTACAAACTTGCAAACTATGGCAACCATTCAATGACCCGACTAGAAAAACGCCATGATTTGTCATCATAACGGACATTGAAAAAAGTCAAGTTTAGAATTATGAGGGGAACCATAAAACAAGGCAACATACAACAAAGAACTGGAGCCATAGTTGGGCTTGTATTTCCAGTAAGGCTACTAAGATTTTACAAAGTTTGGATTATACATTTTTTTCATAAAAGTAAACCAGTTGATTGGTATTCACCAAACAGGGAAGGATTTCTTACAATCCTCAAAACTTAAATGTCAGCGCTGAAGCATCACCTGCCAGACAATTAAATGACTCTGCACTCCCCTGCTTATTGATTGTGAAGTATCTTGTGTGGACGGAACTATTTCAGCATCACCATCATCATCTTCTTCACCTGTAAAGGTAAAATAATCTATACTTCAGGTTGTCAAACCATCCAAAAAAGCTGTGTGGAAAAGAGGTGTTAACTAAGTATCGAAAAGAAAATCACAAATACGTAATAATTTAAATGGATTTTAAAATGCCTGTTGGAAACAATTAGCACTGAAAGGAATTTTGTATGATTGAATAAACTTCTATCAATAAAAAGAAATATTTCAGATATGTAATAATGACTGAACTGACCACATAAAAACCACTTTCACCACCAGTTCCCAACAACTTATACGCTTGACTTCTTCTAAAACTCTCGTAAGTATAACAACAAACCATTGTAAAAAAATTAAAATAAAATTAACTTTAAGTCTCTGTTTGTCTTGGACACAACAAGTTTGTCAGCAGTGAAAGCAAAGAGAAAAAAAAAAAAAAAAAAGAAAGGTAGAAAGAGTGATGCTTTCACCAAGGGTTCATGCTTCAGAAATTGTGCAAAAACAGAGGAAATTCGAGAATGATAAAAAAAGCATAAAAACAACACAGACAAACACTATTTGGTGAAATACAAGTCACTGGAAGAGTATAGCTACAAGCACAGTACCTTAAACACTAAAAGCAAGAAGAGGAAGAAAAAGAAAGAAGTTAAAGATAAAACATACTTTTTAAAAAATGCCATAAATGTCTCAAGCAATACATATTCCACGTGCATTAAAACATTGTCTGTCATGTTTTTAAAAGCAGTTGTGAGTGAAACATAAACACATTGTTGATTTAAGCAGAGCACTAGCACTAGAGAAATGAATAGAGCAGGCAGGCAAGCAGGCAGCAGCACAGCAACATGTCGTACCGGGCTGGCAACAACTGCCAAACTATGAGGTGCGATGCAGAGTCCTGAGCCTCGTCCGCGTCATCTTCTGCAACCACCAGACAGTGTCACACCAACATCACACACGCGCGCACGCTCACACACACACAACGAGGGATCCGGTGCTCACTGAACTGGGAATTTATCTCCAGAACATGGTGACAAATGGTGACAACACAAAAGCCACTGCAAACTGCGTAAGCATACTTCAGGTATTATGTGTGTTGAAATCAAATAAAATGAGAAGGATTTTATGTTTTAAGGTAATATACTTAAAATCTCTGGTGGCAATTAATTGAGGCACCATTATTTTATGAAAGTTTTTTTTTTTTTTGCTTTTAATGTGCAGCTACTGAAAAGCAGAACTTTTACTAAAAAAAATCATTGTTTCATCACACCACTTTAATAGCGTTGAATGTTTTTTATTCAATGCAATCACATGTTCAGCAGTTGTTCCTGTTTTTGCTTTATTCCCTCTTGCGAAACCTTATGTAATGGGTTTTGAGTGCTAATTTGACATCCTGAAACTATCTCTGAGCAGCACCTAACATATTTTTTTAAATGTTTATCTTCAAAATGATGCCACTTAAGTTTTACATCCATGTCAGAGCACATAACAGTATTATTAATACATATCAAACATCAACAGAACAACGTTTAATATCCATGTGCATTTGAAAACCTTGTTGATGTGCTCAAACATATGTAAAATTTCAGTGTTATATTAAGTCACTGACAGTCCTCAAAAAATGTTATGTAAATGTATGTATCCAAGACAAACAAGAAACAGATATACATAGGTAGTACTGTAATTATTTGATAGATAGATATAAAATGGTTTAAAAATAGAACTACTGATTGTGCAACAAATTTTTCAAACCATGAAAATCACACAGGATGCAATCACACCAACATTCACTATAACAAACTTAAAACAAAGTAAATCTTTCTGCAGTACTTAAAAATTATAAATATTACGTGTGAAGAACTAAATAGTATCAAATATGCTTGGGCTTGCACAAAAACAGATACAGGTTGTGTACAATTACTGCACGAAATCAAATATCAAAAAACGTAAAACTATTTTTTTTTTTAATCCTCGAAAAATACAAAACTTGTGAAATCTATCCGATTTAAAAAAAAAAACATAGTAAATATGAGGACTTACCAACTCTGAAGTCTATGTATCCTTCACCCCCAGACATTACTAGCATTGATTGAGGCTTATCTGAATCCGATAGCCCGTCCATAGCTGGTGTGTCAATTGGATCACTGGTTGCAGCCGATATGCCACCAGAACCTAGTAAAACAAATCACACAATTCAAAATATTTGCTTCCCACGATGGCACAGACTGCACCAACAAGTGCAATGAATTTGAATGAATTTGAATCAATAAACCACTTTCCCGATTGCAGCCAGTCCCTTCCTCCGCCGCTTCCAACTTTAACTGCCTGCCCTCAGATAAAGTCCGTTTGAACCACTTTACCCGGTTACTGTCCCCCTCGGATGGCCCCGGAGGACTCTAACCGGGCGCCTTGGTTAAAGCACACTCTAACCAGGTAAAGTCGACACTAACCGGTTAATGCCAACATTACCCGAGTAACGGACTTTAACCGTTATATATATTTTAAATGAGAGAAAAATTGTGCAAAAGCCAATATGACTACTGTGACATAAAATCTTAATACATACCAGGTACTGAAACAAAGAATTTAACTGCTTCTCTATGGCCATGAAATGAAAGCTGAGCTTGTGCCATGGAGCAATAAGGTATAAAACTGCCAGGTGTAACACGATTTGATTGAGTATCAGCATAAACTCTCACAATTGAACCTGGTCCCCTGGCTGCTCCAATTATATTCCCTGTAGTGCCTGCACCTAAAGAAAAGACCTTGTCTTAATAGCAGCACTAACATACATCTCATGCGATGAAACTAAAATACTTACTTTCAGACAGAGGAACAGAAATAATCACGCCATTGCCAGTGCCTATCCATAATCTTGATGATGATATGAGCAGAGCTGTGATACGTGCAAAGGAGAATCCCAACTTTCCAGTACCTGAACAAACAAAAAACATGATACCTTATAAAAGGTGCAAAAAATCCAGTCATTTTAATTTCGTTGGTTAATGCTGAAACAGTCATTACTTTTAGACTAATGTAGTAGGGTTAATGAGCATGAGGCGCTTGCAAACCAATGCCATGGTGTAAAACTTACAATTACCTATATATTATAATGATATATTTATTGAATATGAGAGGTGATGTGGAAAAATAAGGTCTCTAGTAGAGTCAGATTATGGCAATCACTAAGTGTTATTCAGGGATGTAATACACACTTATAAGATGTCATGCAATTTGAAAAATATGCAATTTATACCTTGTGGAAATACGCCTAATTCAGCCGTCACCACACACGATGATAAAATTCAGAAAAAGTAACATAATTAGAATTTAGTTTATTGTAGGATAATTGACTTAAAAGGATACTCTAATGACAGCAGTCATTACAATGCTTTGATGGATAGTACAAGTAAAGAGTACAAGGGACAGAGACTATACCTATACAGTGTAAATTAAGAAGGGGAAGGACTAATATAGGCTTAATGCTGAACCAAAGAACTTTTTTTAAGAAACTCACCAAGCATTTTGCTCACATACGGTTCAATATCCACATCTTGCAAATGTTGGTAGGTGTGAGCATGGTACAATCGAAGAGTAGAGTCAAGCCTGATAGTAACCCAGACACCATCTCCAAGCCAGGCCATTTGTCGCACTTGACTTTCTTTCCGAGGATGAGCATCAAATGTTTTCTACCAAATTATTGTAGGTATTAAAATAGATGTAAAAATCCAATACAGAAAAGTATGGATGTAAGTAATTTACCTCTACTTTCAGGGATCGAGGATCCAGTACATGAATTTTATTACGATATCCACACCATACCCGACCATGAACAGCAACCATACAACGAATTGAATGGTGCTGTGGTCCAAGATCAACAATGTGGTAGTTATTCAGGTTCCACTGTCCATCTAAACCTCGTCTGAACACAACTACAGTACCATTAGCTAAAGCTGCAAGGACTCTTCCATGAATGTGCCTGAAAACAAAACAAAGAAGCGTCAAGAATTTTAAAATAAGACAAACAGGTATAAAGCTACTTGCGAAGTCTCCCATACGCATAATAACATTATCCCGTAGTTAGTTTGAGTTCCAATTTTTTAACGGCGAATCAGCATTAAAGTACGGGTTCAGACTCAACGTTTCTCACATTTAACGCTGGTATATTAACAAAAGTATGGGCGACATTTTAAGCAGGTTATACTATATAAATATAACACAAGACAAAAGAAAGATAGAGATGACTCATAAATTTAAATTAAAGTTGTAGAGATGATATCTTACACTATACTTAAAACAGAGTCTTTCAAGTGAACACTATGAAGACACCTTCCCCATTGAGAAGCAGCAGAGTGAACATAAATATCACCACTTTGGGCACCCAACCACATAGTTGGAAGAATGCTACTCATCTTCTCTAGATTTTCATTCACCAGCTCATCGTTTTCTGTAAAGAAAAAGGTAAAAGACTCTAGAGAAACATTCAACAACATTAATCTATAAAATAAATCACACTCCCTACATAGCGAAAGGTAAAACAAGGGAGAAGTAGACACAAAATTAATTTTGTGTCAAATGTAACACTTGTTCTTTATTGTAATTGTAAGTACTGTTCTTGGCGCTTTACATTTTCCAATTTTATTACTATATGCAGGAATGCATATAGGAATGTCATGGAAAATCAGTAGTTTTAATACTGGTCGTTTGCCTGTCAGATTGTGTGTAAATGAGAACTCTTAAAATAAATTTGCTGATTTTGTTGGAAGTGATTTTGAAAGTAATGAGAAATGAGACAACTAAAACAACACTTATCAAAGAGGAGGGGGGGGGGGGACAATCTGGCCCCAGGCAGGGCCTGAACACAGACAGATAGGGGGCTGCCTCGCAGCTTGGTGGCCGGTGAACTTAGACATGGTTCCTAATTTTGAATAGCAATACTTGTTTGTGGCCGTTGTTTCTTCTAAGATTAAAATGACCACTAATAAGCTGGGTTAGGGACTTAGCACGAAAATCAGCAAAATTTGTTAAGAGTTCTCAAAATATTACTATTAAACTCAAAAAAAGGTTTATTGTTGGAATCAAGACCAGTACAATTTATATTTCCAAACGAGATTGGTACAATTTCTACGTCTGCAGGTTTTGTGACTTATGAGATGAAAGTGGAATCATGTTTAAGCATTACCTCACACCGAGAACAATACTTCCTTCTTCCACCACCGACTAGGTGAGGGTAGGTGGTATAGAACGAGTAAAAACCAAATCCCAAAACTCATAAGTGACAACTTTAAAGTTGAAGTTCAAAAGCTATACTTCACAAAGTTGCAGAAGTCACCAATGTAGAGTTAAGAATTGTCCCATTTTGAAAACAAAGTATTAGTCTGCTTTATTTTCTTATGCATTTTAAAAAGTATCCTTTCTCACCTTTTGAATGTTGCAATAGACCATCTTTAACCAGACCACTAACTTCCTTGGCTAACCTTCTAGGTGGGTTAATGTCCTCTGCCTCATCCTCTCCTAACCCACTCAAATCCACTGATAAGCAAAAGCAGTAATAAAATATGTGAGCAATCACCACAGTTCACAAATAGCACAAAAAAACAAAACAAAATCACATCACAGAGCACATTGCATGGATCAAAATTAACACACACAAGCAAACAAAAAACAATACATTGATTACCTGTTTCAATCTGAGTCTTTGGGGCAACAAATTCTCCAAGAGGGGGCCCCGGAGCTTCACTACCTGTAGCACAACTCACAAGTGTAATACGTCCAATGCATGCATCATTTTCATCTAGTATACTATCTGCCTGAACAGAAGACATTGAATCTCTTCGTACGTCATTTTCAACTTTAGAATCTTGCAAGACTGAGGTCTGTGTGAAGCTGTCATCATTCACTTTCAGAGGAGTTTCTGGAACTTCCTCAGTGGCAGGATAGTCACTTTCACGAGCACCTTGAAATTAACAAAACAATTTGGTAGGATTGTTAATTTTAAAAATAGATATAAAAAACACAAAAAACAAAAATTCTTTCTCTTACCAGGTACACTTGCTATACACAGCAAGTGAGATGAACAAACATTAAAGGCTTTCAGAACATCAGCTGGGTTGTTGGCATCTACTACAGTCACACGGCTCATTTTGTGAGTTGATGTACATATCCAGACTAAAGACGAAAGTTGTTGCTCTTCTATTTCTGCCTCCTTTGCAAGTCTTTCTCCTTCCTAGAAAGATACAGATAGAAGATAATAATCTTTTCTTACTTCATACTTCAGAGATTGAAAAATGTTTGCTCCACAGTAACAAAACAGTAGTCAAACCTCCAACTCTTCCTCCAAGCAGCGAACTGGACTTGCTTTTTCATCACTTTCACTGATATTGGCACAGGTTTCCTCTGACGGATTTGAATAAAAAATACTGGCTCCAACAATGGATCCACCATCTCTTGTTTTACCTCCACTTAAGTTAACGCCTGCAGCACACCAAATCTGCAGAGGCTGAAAGCATACACCATATTCCATTACACATCATTGACATTATCATCAAAAACAAATTTTTGTATTGGGGTAAAAAGGTAAAAAATACTTTAACTCCTGGTTCACTCTCAGTCAATGGCCTGCAATATACTGGCACAGGAACAGGTTCTGCACTACTGGGTCTTGCAATGGCTGCTCCTGATGAAGTAAGTGCATTTGGAAGACTACCAGCGCCTGAAACTTTGGCTGGTAAACTCCATCCATAGGCTCTGAGGCGACCATCATCTTTTTCCACATGGGCTCGGACTTGACGATATTGTTCTCGCCTCTCTGTCTGTCTTCGTAGAGCCACTTTTTCATTATTCCTGGATGTGCCAGAAAGAGTAAACAGGCAAAAATTACAGAAAAATCAGTAATGTGTATCGAAAATTCTAAAGTGAAAGAATTTGGGACAAAGACCAGAACTCTGTTGGGTATGAACCCAGAAAAGCCCAAAGGGAATGCAGTGTGCATTAAGCTATAACACATGGTGACTTGTGAGCCCATAACCATGTATTTCACAAAAGAAATTACCATACATAGAAGGATACAAGAAAAAGACCACACCATAAGATCTATTTTACGTGACCTTCAACCACACTGATTACCTAAAATCAATAAATTAAGAAAAAAAAAGGAAAACAAATCTACTGGGGTAGTTAAAATTTCTTGCAGTCAAAACATGGTAAAAATTAGGATGCACAAGATGCTCATTCCCATAAAGAGCCAAGACATGATAAGTAACTTTTCACATTTCCTTGGCACTTTTCTTGATATTTATTGGACACACAGTAATGCAGAACTTACACTTTAATTGGGCCAGTGTTGTATGAATCCAGAGGTCGAGAAGTGAGAGGGCAGACAAATATTTCAGAGGAAACTAGGCCTCTTCCGCAAATTCGCAGAAAGGCTGACTCTCATTACTTTGACAAACAGATGGCCTATAAAGTGACGGGAATCACACTTAAAACTCAGAAAGTTGTGTGAGCTCTTAATGATGAATGAGGCTATCTTCCAATGAAATCCTATTTCACACTTAAAGATTAATTTCCCTACATGTAATACCTTTGCCCAAACATCACTGCACTCCCACATGAAAAGCAATCATAAATAAAAATAATAACAAAATGAAAATTTGGAGATAATATAGAAGTTTTGTTTGTTTGTTTGTTTTTGTCTTCTTTTTTGAAATGGACAAAATTACTGCTCCATAGACACCCGTACTTTTATATTACACTAATAATACAACAAGAAATAAATGAAAAAGGGTGAGAGTGTAAGCCAAAAGCAGGATAGATAAAAAAACAACAACATAGGGTTTGAACTGAGAAATATACATATGTGATGTTAGTAAGCAATGAAGCAAAAGGATAGAATAGCTGGAAATAAATAAAATTTACGGTTAATTGTTCCAAAGAGAAACTGTTGATATCACCCTGCATGCTTTAAAGTGAGGCATCTTAAAATTCTGAGCGAATTGTCATTTATGTTATCTGACGTATAAACTAGGGACACAAAGAAAATTAACCAATAAAGCACAAGCACAGTGCTTCTGTAAAATATGCTACATTTCAACTGTACTTACGAATCCGAGGTCTCCAGATAATCGACACCTCTCTTACGATCACTAAGGGTGCGTTGCCGCATTGAACCCAAGGGACCAGCTGGACTCACATGTTGTGGGGCAGTAAATCGTACTCCCATGTGTTGGGTTTTCCTTGAAGGTACAGGTCTATCAGTAGGGGTAAAAAGGTTGCTGAAACTGGAAAAGAAGACACTATAGTCACCACAAAATTATCTGATATAATTAAAGATAAATTTTTATCAATCAAAGAAGTATACTAACAATTTCCATATGCTCTGTTTACTTTTCCTATCAAGATTGGGATCATTTCGTGAGGCACGAACAAGCTCTGTCCATCGTACTGCTTCCTGCAGCTCCATAAATCGCTCTTTGTATTGATTCCTCTCCATGAGAACACGCGCCATTTCCACACGGGTGAATCTCTTTCTTTGAGCCATTGGGACATCTTCCTATGAAACAGATCAACAAAAGTTTCACACTATCTCTTATGGAATAATAGAAACAACATAAAAGAAGATGAGAAGCTAGAACATTTACTTCATCGTCTGACTTGCTTGCTTTCAGAGCTTTCTCTGACTCTTCTTTGGCCTTTTTGAGCTCCTCCTGGAGTTCTTGAATTTGTAGATTAAGTCGTTCTTTAGTAGAGACAAGAGACTTAATTTTTTCACGGAAATATTCTTGTTCACTGTATACAACAAAAAAGAAACAGCGAAGGTTGGTTTGTGAGAAAAGATGAAGAAAACAGTAATTGGAAAATAGAATGTATTGCCCTTAAAAGATAACCACATACCTTGTGAGTTCATCAACTTTGATTATAAGATCATCCTTTACAATATTCAAAGCATTTCTGTTGTTAATGAAAAATAATATAGATATTACTGATATGAGGTATACATGTGCTAAGATCATAAAAAGATCAATTAACTTCACATACTTGGTTGCAAGAAGCTCGTTGTTTTCCATGATGAGATTTTCCACTTCTTTGCCCATACCTTAGGGGAGACAAAAATAGGCATGAATCAATGTTAAATGGCAGAGATGGAAAATAGCAATTTTATCAGCAGGCTGTATAGAAGAGCAAGACAGTATGCAGCATTCATATTTCAATATCCCAGACAAAAGCTGTTCATGCTGGTCATCACAAGCAATGAGTATAGATTTGCAAATTAACCCCATCAGAAAACTTTTTAATTTGTTGATTGATTTAATGAGTTAGCTGTGCTGTGGTAGGTAATAGAATAAATTATCAAGTATTAGATATCTATTTGTTTCAACAAGATATACACCACTTTTTCCAGACAGCATGTTTCAATTGGCACATAGGAGGTCTACCTTAAGCTTAAAACTAAAATTGTTTCAATAATTTAACAGCAAATGTAAGTGGGTTGTTGTATATCTTACCAAAGAAGTTGTCATTAACTGGAGGAGAGTCAGATGAAGACCGGCAGGCATATCCAGGATAGACACACATGAAAACCAATGTATGTTAGTTTGCCATTCAAGCAATGCAGAAAAGCCAACAGCTGATTGATAAATTCATTGATTGGTAAAAATGACTTAAAAATATGTAGCAGAAAGGGACTGAATTTATAAACTGGTATGTTCCACTACAGTTGAGAAACTATTTAATTTACTGGTACAGTAATATTGGTATTTACAATGACTGAATAATGTTTAGAAATAATGTTTTTGTTATTGAAATATACGAGTAAATAGTAGGCACGAATAAAATAAGTTTCCTCAATAGTTTATCTACCTCACCTCATCCTAATCACTCTTCACATCAACTACATACAGTGAAACCTTGTTATTGCAAATCGCATTGTGCAGAAGTACCAATACTTGAAAAGTGGGATCACGTTACACTACCAGGGTTTGTACAAACCAGGTTTCACCATTAAAAGAAAAAGTGGGCACATCAACAATTCATGACAAACTTTGCACCAATGCCAGAAAAGCTCATGCATTTTTAAGCATGGGTGAGAGAATAGAGAAGACCTCATATTTAAGTGCATAAAAATATGAAATGTACAGGTAACAGAAGTGCGTATACATGCATTACTTCAAGCAAAGGACTATAACTATTGTACTAAGAAAGGGGTGCATACCAGCATGAGCAATTTTGCTGCGCAACTCCGTTTCACTGTCGCTGTCTAATCCACGACGGTGATAAAATGCAGCACAGATGCAGCGACAAGAGGTGCAACAAAACATGCAAACAAAGGGCTAGATATAAATCTACGCAGAAGCAATTACTTCAGACAGTGTGAGGATCTACCAAACAAAATTTAAAAAGTACACAAGAGCAATCACTTTTAACCTTTTGAAGAGGGAGGGGAAAGCAAGTAAATACATGTTTAAAATAGATAATTTTTTTTTTGTAAAGGTTGGTTATTAAAAATGATGAGTCAAATTGAAGGCTGGAAGGAAGGTTTTAGAAGGAAACAGGTTCATAGATAGATATCATGCTGCATATCTACATTTCAGAACACATCATCTTAACTGTCATGATTACTGTAGCAGCTGTTAAAGTGCACCAAGAAGCTCATAAAATTGAGAAATCTTGAGAAGAAACATTTTTGATATTCAAAAAGTGAGCACAAAAAGAAAATTTTCAAAAAGAAAATTACATCTAAAACTGTTACACACTAAAAGCATTTAATGAGAAAATGTTTTAAAAACACAGAAACTTTTTGTGCTTAATGTGGTTATGTACTGCACACAGTATACTTTTTGTAAAGATAAGAACAACATGAGAAGGAACATTTGCACACAATCATTCCTACTGATAGATATATAGACAAATCAAATCTAAAACAAAATTGGCTTGCACTGAAAATAGAAGAGTGAAAAGGGTACAAACCAGATGAAGCGTATTCTCCAGGATGAACCCAGCTTCCTAAGAGCCACAAATCAAACACTTTAATCTAAAACAGCACTTTCCTATGTACCTTGCCATATGGCAAAGAAGTTAGTTTTAACAGATTGTGATCCTAGTGAGGGGCTGACGAACAAAATTGACAATCTTTGCCTCCAACTGGAATGGTTGAGGCCGTGCATCCCCCTGAGCATTCTGTTTGAGTTAACAGCTTCATATTTGAGCCACATACACCAAATGTCCCTAAAGCCTATCACGGTAAATGGGATACCTCAGCTTAATTTTTGATTGTATATTTAGTTCTCAGAGCTTGTGAATTTCTTTGACACCTTCCCTGCGCCATGACCACTATGTTGTCGCGCTACCATGTTAAATCATAGGGACCAAAAATGAGCCGCAGGGAACGTGTTAACATACTCAGAATTAATATTTCTCAAAATTCCTGTTTCACGAAAAAGCTCCATGTTTCAACTATATTTAAAAATTGTTTTATCTTCGTAGGAACACGCTTCCGAGCGGGATCGTGCACTGCATGGAGACCTTTAACCGTTCCTGCTCTAGACCTAGATGGGCACCTTCTTCAAATATGGCAAAGGCGGGAACAAGATCCCTTACGGCCCAAATAATGTGGCAAAGTTTGATATCACTGCGGTACTATATTAGTAGCAGTCTTAACACTACCTCAGGTGCCAACAATTTTATTGCTAATCAACTGTAGCTTAAAATTACACTCAGTGTTCAACTGTTCAGCTTGGCACGCCTGGCTTCTTAGAAGTTTAACATTGAGACCTGGGTCATGTATATTTTTACAGCTAGAGGACTTAAATAGAACTAGTGAACCAACTGGGAAATCCCTGTAGAATTTACAGTCAAAAACTACCAACTAACAGCATATCAAAATCAGAAGTTGCTCATCAGAAATATAAACTTATACCAATTAATCTAGCTCACAGTTTTCTTTTAAACTTCTAAGCCAGTAAGAAATAAAATAAAGTAGAAATTACCTGTAATATCAGCTCCTTCATCCATTTCTCCCAAAGCTTCAACATCCTGAAAGCTGAGCTCTTGGTACAGCGTATTCCCGCTGCGTTGTTCCCTACAAAAGAGTTGAAAAGCAGTTGCAGTATCAAATAAAAACTTCATCAACAATGAATAATTCAGAGAGATATTTAAGTACCTCTTCGTATGGCTTTTTCCTCCTGGGGGAGGTAGCTCTTCTGTTTCTGGGCTTGAATCTTTACTAGTAGGACTAAGGCTTTCCGACCAACCTGGATAAAAAAGACTGACACTTAGGGAAGTCCTCCTACAAAAACACAAGTAAATTGTACTAAGCTGAGGTAAATAAACTTACCACCCTTCTCTGGTGAAGGTAGTTTTGAAAATGACTTGTCAGGTGAACTATCTCTTTCAGGAGATTGTGTTTCCTGAAAATAAGTGAGGGGTTTAGCAGGGAAAGCTCCTGAACATTTTTTTACCTAACTACAGAATATATAGTTAACCTCAAGTTCATTTTGGAGACTAGTAGTAGGTGAAGAAGCAGCAGGTGCATATTCCACTGGGCTTATGACAGACTGTGGCCCTGCCTCTAAAGAAGCAAATCCATATGAAATAGGTCCACTGGATCTATTGCAGCAACATAGATAAATTCACAATATAGAGTAATTCTGTTTGAGAAATGGATAAGTGATGACTGTTGTAGCAGTTGAATACCTAGTCATAGGATTTAAGGCGGACATTGGTGGGAGCCTGGCCCTTCCTGTCGAATCTAGTCGGTCTGTGGTTCCCATCATAAGTTTAGTTCTTTCCATTGTATCCATGTGTGTTTTAAGAAGATCAGTATACCGTTCATGAAGTTTGGAATACTCCTGCTTCATTTCAGATTCCTTTTCTTCTAGTCGATACACTGCAGAAATGGTAAAAAATAAGAAAAAATAACACACTGAATGGCACATACTGTAATCAAGACTCTTGACTGCAATCAAGTCACATTACTGGTATGATATGAAATATGAGGTCTGTATTAATTCATCCAAACCCATCTTATAACAACATAAAAATTACCATGGTCTGAAGCATTTTTTCCTTTTAACTCCAACATTCGAACAATTGATTCCAAGCTTTCAATTTTGCCTTGTAGCTCTTTTCTTTCATCTTCAGTGGCATCTTCTGACTCTATTAATTTCTAAAAAAATAGAGAGAGGAAAAATAAATTAAATGATGTACAGTAGTTATATATTTATGTTCATATATTTATGCTCAGGTACAAAACATTAAATAATTTGATAAACTGCAATATTTGATTAAAGCACAAAGAAAAACAGCCAAAACAAGAAAAAATAATAATAACAACAAACAGATAATTGAAAGGAGTTTGATGGCCAATAAACTCTTCACATTTTTTTCTACAAGGAGATCAAGATCATCAAGTAGTCTTTTTCTAGGTCTTATTGAATGTATATGGTTATGTTTTTGTGATGACATAACCCCAGAACTTGTAATTGTAAACCTGGTTCATAAACACTCTTACACCAGAAGGATAGCGCGGGGATCCAAAGTGACAATCCAAAGTGATAATATGTAAGAATTTTTTAAAGAAATAGGAGCTCTTACCTGTTCTGCACTTTTCCTTAGCTGTTTTTCACGTTCATACTGAGTCACCAGCTGTTCGTTGTCTTCTCGTAACAACTCCAATTCTACCTCATGTTCTTGATTTTGAGTATACGATATGTCTAAACACTCAAGCACATTGACAACTAACGGCATTAGATCTTTTACAACATCATCATCATATTTACTTATCATTTTCTCAAATTCCTGGTAAACACTACCAGCGAGAGACTGTACTTTTTCTGACATGACAACATGAGAGTCTTCGTGAGTACCATACACTGTTTCTTGCTCCATTTCCATCTTTTTAATAATAACCTTGAGGTTAGAAAAAATAACTTTCGATAAACCTACATATGGAGAAAAACAATCATATTCACAGTTGTTTACTGAAAACAATAATAATGCGTGTCCCTGTCTGCTGATGACATTTTGCCAAACACTGACCCCATTTTAAACGCCTTCTAGTAATTCGCCACGCCCACTTCCATATCGGAGACAGACGACAAACGTTAATGAATGGGCGGCAGGCTACAAGACAAGAAGGCAGTGTGATTTGAATTCGAATCAAATGAAAATGAACGTATTGAACTAGATCTAACTGCTAACGGTCCGTCATTATTTTGTGTTCCTTGTTGTGACACGAGTATTTGTGAGTTCCTAGTGTTTAAAATTAAAATAACATCACATTTAAGTTTGTTAAAGAACTGAAAAATGACTCCAACCATAACTCGTCAAGCCAAAAATACGGGAATGAAGAGTCGTCAGGTGCAAGCAAAGGTCACGTCAAGATTTGCATCATTCTCAGTTAACGCTGAGTAAGTTTAACCTGGAACAATCAAGTTATGGGGAGGAGTTTGTGTTATGCACCTAATTGTGTTTTGCTTTTTTGGTTTCATTTTTCAGGGAGCAAGTGAGACAGTTTCGGGAGGCCAGAAAGGCTAGGGAGACTGAAAGACTGGAGAAGTTACGAGACTCTCGCTTAAAAAACAGTTCTGCTGCGGCTTCGACTGTGTCAGCTTCAATTTCTATTACAAGTTTTGCATCATCTAGCTGTCCACCTTCCAAGCCCCGAGTTCTAGGCGTTTTATTGAATAAGTCACAAGCATGTAGTACTACGATAAAGTCATCTGCCCTAAGTCAGAGGTCTCAGCCTTGCCAAAGAACAACACATCATTTGACGGAGACAAGCTCCAACAATAATCCTAATGCTGCTACCAAATGTATGCCAGCTTTAAATCTGCCAACCAAACGTACGGCAGGGGTGATTTCGTCTCTGAAGTCACGCAGATCAAATGGTGGAAGTGAGTAAAGTTATTTATTTCATCTTGAATGCCTTGGCATTTACTGTTAATAATTTTTGAATAATTGTAATATTGCAATTTAAGGGCAAAGCCTTTCCAAAAAAAGGCCAGATCTGAAGTTGTCTAACAAAGCAAAGCGTAAAGTGCCCAAAGCTGAAGTGAAGCTGACGAAAACTGCTCAATTACGCATGATGAAATGTGACCCTCTTCTTGATCTTTCACAATTCAAAAGAGATTCAAAGTATGTTGATGTTTTAAAAAAACAAAAACAATTATGGTTATATTATATTCCTATTGTTTTTAATGTATATAATTTCCTCAGCAAACGGATAGTGTTGCCTTTACCTGCATCCGTACCAAAACCAGGTAATGATTCTAAGAATGCTAAGGCACCCATTGAGAGGGGCGATATTGATGTCACTACTAGTGTGATTGTCGATGGATCTAATCTGGGTATTCAGAACAATGACCAAGGTGAGTTATTACACTTTATTTGGTTTGTTAATCCTGAGAGATTAGTCTACCAAATCTTGAAGAAATTGTCATAAGAGGAGATTAATAAAGCATTAAACTTTCTGGAATACTGGATGAAAATAGTTAAATGGTCATTCAGGAGCATAAGGTTGTGGAAATAAATTTAGAATATACCCATTGCTTGAAATTGCAACTGCTTGCACCTCTTTAGCTTAATTTAGGTCGGTAAAGAATTGTTTTAGTCAGAATTAAGGGGCACTGCACTAAAAATAACAACAACAAAAAAAACACCCTCCAACAAGTCAGAATAAGATTTTGTTATTTTTTTCTGATCTATGACTCAATTATGTTATTATTCTTCTAGCAGTTCTGATCAAAGATGAAAGTCAGAGAAAAACATCTATGAAGAAAAAATCTATCTCTGACCCTAGTGTGAAGAAAAGCATATCTCTTACTTGTGATTCACCATCACACATTCCTAGACTAAAAACTTCTTTTGTTAGCCCATTAAGGAAGACTGTGCCCTCAACTCCGAGGCCTAGCCCATTGAGGTACGTTGTCGTTCCTTAAAGCATTTGAGAAATAGGTTTAAGACATGAGTTAGCTTCGCTGTCTTGACTGTAATGATTTCCTTTTCAGGGCAAGGCTAGCCGAGTGGCTTGAGAAACGTGATCATTCATTAGACAATTTTAAACATTTGAAGTGTTTTGGAGTCCTTGGTCCAGTTGTGAAAAGGCCTCAAACTCCTTTCCGTAAGGCCATATTGTCTACCAGTACTCTTAGGGCTATCCCTGAAAGCAGTGAGTCCACTTCCCTTAATGAGAAAGTTGAGGTAAAACTATTCCAGTTTAATTCTTGATTATATTATCTTCGGTCCGTCACAACGTGGCCCTGAAATTGTTTTGCTTAACTATTGTACTTTCTTTCTTTTCAAGGATACCTACGAGGAAGATGATATTGGACTTAACTCTACATTTACTCTAGAGGATGAGGACAAAGAAAACATTTGTGGAGGTTTTGAGACACAAATGCAGGTACACACTCTTTCAGCAGATCATGTAAACTTTTATTATAATTATAAATTCAATTCATAATTATGACGGCCAGGTGCAAAACACGACTGTTGGAAACCTACCTCTGTCTCCCAATACTCAGAGGATCAAGGACTTGGATCAAGCACATGGTGTTTTATCTGAACTTCATAGACTTATAAAAATGGTAATAATTGTTTCAAACAATGTGCTACATGTGACAGTTATCAGATCCAACTAATTGCTGTTTTATTTTTATTTTAGGCATATCCTACTGAGCAATGTGGACTCTGGTTGAAAGCCATTCGTCGACGCTTTCCTCAGTGTGGTGAGGAACCAATATATTGGGAATGCCTGGCTTCCCTGGAAGAAATTCGTGGGGATTTTGAATCAGCTGTTGCTTGTTATGAGCGAGCAATTTTGCAAGGTGCAGAGGTACGGTTTATTTTGTTACTTTGGCTGTTTCTATGGTACTTATGTTTCACAAGTGTTGTTCACTTTTTTTTGTAGAGCTGTGTTCAGAGTTCACTGGACCAACTGCATCAAAAGATGTCTGACTTACATATAGAACCTATTCCAAGCACAAATATGAACAATGTTAAAAGAACACAGAACAACTTGCCCCAATCCAAAAACATAATCAAATCATCTTCTATTCAATTCGCTGTGCATGAAAAGTAAGTTGTTTTACAATCCTTACTAATTCTGTCAAAAGTTATATCCCTGTATTTTCATTAAACTATTGTTTTATTAGGTGTGGCTCCTCAAAGAAGACTGTTATAGATGAAAACAAAGCTGACCCAGTTTTCACTGCTACACCTGTCAGGCGTTCTATGCGTCTTGCAGGCACTCCATCCAAGGGTACTCCTGGAATAACATGTGTACGTTCCCTTGAGTTCCTTGAGCCCAAAATTAAAAATTCTCTTATCTTCCATGGAAACAGTGCCTTGGATCCAAATGAAATGAAATGTTAATTGCATTCATTTGTGGTTTGTTGATACATTTACAAGTTTACTTTTATGCAGTCATATTTTTATAGTTTATCATATTCTTGTGTTCTTTTCTGTAATTTTAAACACAACAAATTTCATTTCATGAGATATTACTTTTCTGTGGCTATTGTCGCGTTCAATTGGATTCCCTTCAACAAATATATGTATTTAGTTAACTGTTGAAGCTGCGTAATATTGGGAAAGGTTACTTCTTTTCTTCAAAATAATATGTTATTATAGTTTAACATCTATCTGCTTTTACCATGTTGTGTATGCTTTGTCAAAACAAAACCTCTGTTGCTTGTGGGAGAGTTTTTTTTACATATATAAATAGTGAGGAGTGGGATGAGTAATGAAAGCAAGAAAATATTCAGAAATCATTATTTGCTCCCATATCCAACATCAGATGTTCAATGACTATTCTCCAATTGGTTTGCTTTACACAAGGCTAAAGGCTGTGAATACACTGCCGAGCAGTCAATTATCGCACAACTATCATTACTCCCCCTTTTCTGGTACCTCAACAGAATAAAATAAAATAAGCCACTCTCAAATATTACTATTTACAAAGTTTCATTTAGAACATTGCAACTTAAACAAACCAATTTTTAAACATAATAAAATTAAAACAGATGAAATTAAGTTTAAAACTGTCAGTTAGTCTACCAAAACTTTGATTCACAATATTTTGTCTGCAGTAACAGCTTCAAAATATGCAGTTGGTAGAGACAATACTCAAGATGTATATAACTAAAGTCCTAGAGACATATTTTTGCTGATAAAACAGGAGTAAAGCTTTCCATCAAATGGAATACAGATATTATCACAGAGATTGTAATACATTACAGGCTTATGCAAAATGCTTTGCATTGAGTATCTTAAACACCAAAGAACAGACATTTTAATTTCTTACTCATGAGCATAAGTAAGCTTGTGCACACTATTTCATAGACAAAAAAGAAAAAAACACGTTAAAAACAATAAACTTATGTTCTGAACCATACATAAATAAAACAAAGTGCATTCAAGCTAGTCTGCCACTAATAGTTAGAGCTTTCAAATAACATTCAAGGTCCTGTGAAAGGAAATGGAAATTTTTTTATGTTCTTCCATTAATGTAAAACCAGTAAATAGTATGGAAAATATGTAATACTGAAACTTTACAAATAAAATATAAAAAATTGTCACAAATGAGTAAAACTATATATCCAGTCTCTTGCAATTATTGCCCACTGCACTGAAAGGGAATGTGTTGGAGCTTTATGAGACTACATTATTAGAAAGCCAAATTATAATGACTGAAATTCAAAGAAACTGAAAGTTCTTAAAGGGTTTTCAATTTACAAGAAAAAGCCAATACGTTACCTTTTTAAAAATTCTACAACTTGTTCATACCAAAAATAGCAAGCAGAATACGAACTGGAGACTTTGTCCAGTCCTGTCAATATCCTTCATTAAACTTAAGATACAAAATTACATTGCTGTGGTCTCCAAAGAATATCAATGTTCCACAAAATATCTGGTGAAAAGTGAACAGCATTATGAATAAAGGACACATTTAGAGGATTGGTGGGTGAAAACATGGGAAATCCTCTGGAAATCACAGGGTTGTGGTATCTTCAAAGACACATAAATCTGCATGTGCAACTAGCCGCCCGCAATCAGAAACATGAGCAGCCAAGAGGGGTTTACAAAAAGAAAGAAATAGATATAGTTTCTGATATCAGCAACTGAAAATGGTGGTATTGACTCAAGGCTCACACTCCAGAGCAATACAAAAGGCATATTTTAACGAGACTGACTGCGACTTTTTAACACCAATACCATCCTTGAGGTTCAGACATTTAATGTTTGGAGGAGTGAAAGTAGAATGATTTTAAGATTATCTACTTGTTCATGATGCTGTCTCACTTGGGCTTGGGGCTTGAACTCTTGAGCTCCACAAAAGGGAACTGCCAACACCGACCTGGAGGAAATTAAAATGGGTATTAATTGTACAAAAACTTATTAAACCTTTAGCATGTAATTTGAAGGCAGATGCTGACACATCTCAAAAATCATTACCTGTTCCCAAGTCTGGCTACTAAGAACGGACAGAGAACTTGCGCGCTTCATGCTGGAACACACAAACATAAATTACCATTATGGCTCCAGTAGTATCATACTTTACACAAATAAAAGTTGGGAGGAAACACTCTACAAATGTTCCAATTCCAGTTGCACCTTAGTGAAGTTAGTCTATTTCCACTAAGCAAACACGTTATGTCAACGGTAGTAGTTCACGTCAACTGAGAATTTGGTATCTAAGGATGCACTCTAAACATACATAACGCAATGGTTCATCTCTTTTTCCCCAATTTAACTATTTTACACTTGTGGGAAGCACAGCCTTCATGCATTGCAGTATCAAAAAAGCCATTGCCAAAATATGTGTTTCTAAATGAAAAAAGAAAATTACATGGTTATATGACAGTATGCACTATGAAATGTACTATGAAATAGTTTTTGCACTGCAGTGTTAAGTGAATTTGTGAGGCTCATACATGGACCTAGGTAACTTTAGTAGTTGGTTCGAAGCCAAAAACGCTACTTGCCAAACATACCATAGAATTACACCTGAGTTTCAACCTGAGACTTCAACCACTTCTCTCAAAGCTAGGTCTAGATTTATTTGTTACCCATAGAATTTGCATACTTGTTACTCAACAGAAGACAAACGAAATTAATATTGATCTGGCAGTAACAGCATCGTATCAGTATTCGAGCCAAGGGAAGATAATTGAAGTGATGAAGGGTGGATGTGGGAAGTATCTCTTACATGCATATTTCATTTCTTGAAGTGGGCTGCAATGGAAAAGCTGAAATTTGTGTCTTCCTTTTTACTTCCTGTTAGCTAGCAAAGTGCAAAAGCAACTTTAGGGGACGGTTGATCTGATACCCTAAATTGTTTTTCCGGTTGTATGGTTGAGCAGGCAATTTCATGCATGTAATATCACTACCGTGGGAACAGGAATTACACAGTGCCATTGTGAATCCTAAACTTCGTGTTTATCAGACAGGATACAATTATTCATTCCTTCAAATATCATGCATATTATGTATGATTCATTGAGATATTACTCTTAGAATCAAAATATTTAGAGCAACTGTTGTGTAGTTGCCAATATCTTTGCCTTGACCTCAGAGACAAATGCTTTTGGACTCTCAAGCGCCATACCTGTGGGCCAGCCCGTCCAACTCGGCTCTGGTTGGCATGGACAGACGCTGCATCAATTTGGCACTGGAGCGTCTTATTGAAGCCCTCAGCTTCGTGAAACTGGCGCTCCGCCTTAATGGACTGGACTACAATCACCAACACAAGCATGGTGCAAAGAAGGGTCTGTATTGTTCTACCTTGTGTTTTTTTTGGTGTTTTTTTTTTTTTTTAATAAGAAAGACAAACTTTCCATTCACTCACGACACATAGAGTATGAAAGTATGCAAATTCAACATCTCAAATCCTTGACTTTAAGAGTATAATTGTCAACTACAAAATATTCAACAGGTATATTTGGCTCCTCTCTTTCCTTTCAAATGACTTTCTTCCACACAAGATTGAACTCTCCAAAATTCTCACATTTCCTTCCAACTGCAGTCTTCAAACTGAGATAAAAATTCTGGTACACAAAAATCAAAAATAATAATTAGGAAGCAGAATACACTTGCATTGTAAAATGGCACAAAAATATCACGAAAGCATACAATAAGGGGTTCACAATTGTCTTCTAAAGAAAGATTGAAAAAGGAAAGCAGCTCATATGCGCAACCGCGCACGCACACACATATACACAACAATGAGAAAAGACTACTGTTTCTACAGCAAGCAAGTGAAAACAGACTATCCTTTTTTTTAACACTACATATCTGCCAGTGTTCATTACAAGAGGAAAACAATTGGAAAATACCTGGGCAAATCACAACACAATAAAATCTGTTGATCACAGACAATGCCTTAATTTATTTATTATCATACATAACATGTCTATTAAAATTATCCATTGTATCCAGCCAAAGGTTTAAACAATCTAAAATGCTCAACGAACTAGCTTAACCAGTACTGATGACACAAGAATGCATTAAAAGAATACACCTTACATCTGTCAAAGCGCATAATAGTTTCATTAATATTCAAACACACAAAATACATCACTGCACCAGTGTACGTACATTGATGTAATTCTGCTTCTAGAATTAATTTATAACTTTAATGAACTATATTAAATCTTGAATTGAAACCTTTATATAAAGTCCTTCACAGATCTATGTTCAAATCTGTCATAGAAGGTATAAAAATATAGATAAGAAGGAAAAAACAAAACAAATGAGGACCTATAAAACAGACACGAATATTGATTGCATTTTATCATAAAAATAATCAAATTTAGAAGGAACTGGAGCTTGCCAAACTTCCTATACTACCCTCACAGCATTTAATATGGCTAGGATACACAACAAAATTGAAAATCTAATTTACTTTTTACACCTAAAAAAAGAACAGTGAACTTCTTGCAGACTACAAGAACACCTATAAATGTAACTATTTTACAAATGCCTTAAGGTTGTGGTACTGTACACAACAACTGTTTTAAATTGCACCCATCAGAAACAACAGACTAGATTAATGCATGTGCAATTTAAGATTAAGAAAAAAAAATTTAAGGAAGAGTTGTCCATCACCAGTTAGTGTGAAAGGTAGTGGTACTCAGAAGAGGAAAAGTAAAAGACAGACCCAACGTCGTTTCCACTTCTGAACAGTGCACCATTTCTCCTGTTGTGTGTTTTTTTTTACATAGATGTATTCACTTTCATTCCAGTACACTAGTTTAATTAGAAATGGTAACAATCATATGAAAGTAATCAGCTCATTTGGCACTTGATTAAACTTAAATTTTCAAATACTGAAACTTGAATTTGACTCTACAAAAATAATTTATCAATAATATTTCTCTTTGAGAAGATATAAAATTTTGATAAAGTTGGTGTTTGTTTTTATAACCTAAGCATTCACAAGCAAAGACAACAAAGAAAGCCAAGTCAGACAGAACAAAACAGCAAAATTCTAGATGAAGTTACAACAAAATATTTGATGGTGCAAATACATTACAGAACAAGCTTTAACACTAGAACTAATAGTCAATTCATAGTCTTGAAAAATACTTGTTTTCCTCTTAAGTTTGATTAAATTTTCTTTCCTATCATTTAAACAACCACACTTCTTATTTAAACTTGAATAATGCAAGTGAAAAGTAGGAAGGCAGTAGCACAAAAAGTCAATAGTTGCTTCAGCTATTCTGGTTGATGCCCAATGCGTTGAGCAATTTGCTTTTGAGCCCGCCCTGTCTGGCGTCCGGGCTTGGCCCCGCCATGCCCGGCGCACTGGGAGATCGCACTATATATGACACCGGTGCAGCTGACTACGACAAAAGAGACAGAAAAAAAAAGGTCAAATAAAAAGTTAAAAAGCGTAATAAAATAAGGGTGCGAGTGGAAAACATGCATGTCTGTATTTGCCATTTTCTGAACAGCCAGAACAATCTTGCTTTTACATATTCCAATGGCAGATAAAGTTACTTTTACTTCCATCATAATCCATGGTGCAGAGAAAAGAAAAGCCAGTAAAAACTACTTTTATAAGATTGGATGAAAAGAAGAGGGGGGAGAAAAGGATTCTGATAGAGACATTATCCACGTTAATTGGGCAATTGGTTTAGTGTATTTACATCTTTAGTGTAAGTAGGACTCTCAGAACAAGGAGAGAAATTTTTAATTACCTATTTACAAAGAGACTTGAGGTTAAAGGCAAAGATAGCGGGGAGTTGAAGATGTATCTCTGAGACAGTTAGGAAATTAATTAGTAAAACTACCAGTGATTGGGTTAATAATATACAGTAAGTGATATTTCTCCCTTCCACTCAACCAGCTAATGCTTGAAACTCAGGAACAATTTACTTTATGTGCAATTGGGTAATATAATTGAGGCCCTTTGATCTGAGGTTGCAATAAAGCAGCCACAACCATCCCCATCATAGGCCAAACACACCTGATCCAAGACCAAAGCACATAGTACTTGTAACAATCTTGGCAGACAGACAAAATAAGAGAAAAAGACATGCACACATAATACAACATGCAAAATTAAAGTAAAAGATGGTGCAATAGTATCTTCTACTAATGCATTTACACTCTCCAAACATAAATAGCAGATATACATATTACATTAGCTACTAAGAACAATGAGGAATGCATCATTCCAAAGATATAAGGTAAAAATATGAAAATAGTTAAAAATTTGTGCCAAGGTGAAATAAAAAAAATACACAGTGCACAGCTACTTGAAGTGTTGGAGAGAAATGTAGGAATATGGATATTTGTTATGGGCAAAGTAAAATTATCCCTAGTTTGCAATCCATCAGACTTTTCCAAGATAACTCTAATTCATCCTAACATACGTTTGGTTCTAAGCCTACTATGAACACAGAGTAACAGATTATAGTAGGGAACAACTATAATACTTGTCCTAAATGACAGCAACACAGAAAATTTTGTTTGGTAAGTGTTGAAGAGAAAGGAGAGAGGAGGAGATTTTAAGACAGAGGATTAAATAGGGACAGCAGACAGCAGCAGGAGAGCACACAGGATATGCAGATTGGTCAAAGTTAAATAAACAATTAAAAATAAAAAAATAATGAAGAATTGTATTGAGCTACATTAACATTTAATACATTTTGTAAAAAATTACTTTCAAGAGAGTCAAGTTAAGACCTCTGAATGTATTCCTTTTCGATTAGCTTCAGTATATATATTCACTAATGTAGCAGGTAGGTAGAAGGAGGTAAAGGGTAAGTGTATTATTTTGGTTTTGGAGTCACATCAACTGTTTTTTGCATTTTCAAACATGTATGTACTAAGCAATTGAATTAATTTTGACTCACCTCTTCACTAGCTTCACTAGGCATTGATTCAAGGGATTCTCGAGAACCTCTACGGCTTGACCGTTCTCGACCACTCGAGCTGCGTCTTTTGTCTGCGTTACTTCCGCTAGATGCACTTGTTTCAGCCCCAATATTGCTCAGAGCTACTTTTGTTTGTTTAACTATATCCAAAGCCTACAAAACAAAGGAGCGATGATCAACATTCACTGTATATTCTAAGTACATAGGTACTTAAGTAAAGAGAAAAATTTATCTTTTACCTCTTTTCTGGAGCGTAAAGCACAGTCTTCTAGAGTCTCTGCTGCCTCATATTTACCCTGTCGTCTATACAGAGCCCCTAAATTTTTAAGAGTCGTGGTGACAGTTGGAGAATCAACCTGACCAAGAAAGGAATTTTAGCAAACACAGCAAACTCAGAGAAGAAGCACAAAATAGCTTTCAAATTTTCTTTCATTATACCTTGGCTGCTTTGTGCCACCCACCATATTCACCATATGGAACATTTTCTTTATTTCGGTGTTTATTTTCTTCTCGTTCCTCAGCAACTTGCCAAATGGGCTTATTATCCCCTGTAACATACAAAATCAAAGAAAATATTTAAAATAGTCTTATTTATATGTACCCTGCTTTATGATTACATTAATTGTTGAGCTGACACAATTTTGATATTCTTTGGTTTAATTAGACTGAGGAGAAGCTTGATAGTGAACAAAGGATAGCAACACTGTATGTGGGTGCTAAACATTAGTCTGCCAGTGAAGGGAGTGGTGCTGATCATCAAATGAAAATGCACAAATAATAAAGTAGTTACTTTTATTTTATGCATATGGTCCAATTTTACATAACAGTACCACTCTCTCTCACATCAAACTTAACTCTCTCCAGCACCAATAACAAGAAACCTCTAGAAGCAACAAATATTGTAGAGAAACATCTATTTCTTTTGTAACCAAAGAAATAAAGATAATATTGTTGAGAGACAAGCAAAAATATATCCAAAAATAACTGAATAAGGTGAAAAAAAATATATAAAAAATTGTTGAGTCTAAGGACAACAAATGGCAAAATAAAAACGGAATAATGGAATGTTTGTGTCGTCTTCAGTAATGTGCAAAAGAACACTCTGCATTCAGAAGGTGGAGAAAGGCATTAACATTAAAAGCATTTAAGCTCATATGAGGAAAAATCCATACACAAAGTGTGCATTGTGCGAGACATTATGTTATTATCATGTTTAGAGGACAGCAACAATAATCATTGAGTTTGAAATAGCACTTGAGGATCATGGAATATCACCTCGTAGGGTAATTTAATCGGGATAATAATATATAAAAATAGATGATAAAACAAAAAGAGAGCTATAGGAAATTCTCTCTGCTTTTTCAGAAAACAATAGACATTGCTACATAAGAACTACAAAAGCAAAAAGTACTAGGTTAGACTTTCAAATATTAACAAAACTCAAAAAGACCTAACTAAACATTCCTTGACCACAAAAAAGAAGCAACAAAGACCACACATGCCAACAGAGTACCTAATTAACCTGCAAGCTCATAAAGCAATGTAGGAACTTAAAAGGGGGTTGTTGATCTTAATACCTATATTAGAAACTAGCCTAAATATTTTAAGAGAGAAAAAAAAGATACAAGAATCAGTCATGACAACACCCCCCCCCCCTTCCCCCTGCAAAAAGTGGTAGTGCTGTCCAGCCTCAAAGAAAGAAAATAGAGAGGGGGGGGGGGGAGAGGGGGAAAGAGGGGTAAAAGGAAGTTCAGAAGATACTACAGTCTGGTGATCATAGCATAGAGTACTGCAATTAGGAACCTTCCCCAAAATCAAAAGAAAATTCCATGATTTGATAGAGCATTCTGCGCAGAACATTACAATCTAGTCTCATAAATGGAACAGCATAAACTATAATGGTGACTAAGCATTCATATTGAAGGAGAATAGATCTATTACCTACATAAATTGTGCATTTAAAGGCTAATTGTGTATAAAATCAATCATCAGTAACATACATTGCAAATACAGATATTGAGACAATAACAAAAAAGTAAGAGTTCAAACAAAAATCTAAAATGCAGGAAGAATTTTTTTTTTCCAGACACATTCAAAAGCTACCAGGAGCAACAGTTTTGAAAAGATTGCCAACTACAAACGCATACATAATCTTCCACCAAAATATACCAAAGTATGCCAAATCAGAATGTACACAGATCAAAGAGTGAATGGACAGTTTGAAATAGCCATTTTAGAAATAAATTAAGTTTCTGCATGTAGGAAATCCTAAAACACATCTTTGGTAAAACTTACTTGGTCTAATTTAAGCTCATATGCAGAAAAGAGGACCCTGATCTATTGTAAATACATTATATTTCTAGATAAATATCACATTTTTGTTTCTCTGATACTGTCCAATGGTATCTGTGTATATTCTTTAGTGAACTACTGGGCATGCTGAGTCGTTGGCAACTTACCATCTATTGTTCCAAACTCTTTCTCATGTGCTCGAGTTAAAACTTGTTTATAAAGGATTTCTGCTTCTTTGAATTTCCCTTGCTTCAGATAGCAAGATGCTAGGTTATTTTTAGTTTTGGCGACATTTGGATCATCAGGACCAAGTTTACTCTCATAGATTTCAAGAGCTCTTTGATAATACCTTTCCACCTCTTCAAATTTAAACTGCAACAATGTTAAACTTTGGTAAGTAAAAGTAAAGCATCAACAGTGTTTTTTTTTTTTTTTTAAAGCTTTAAATTGAGGGAAGTATTTTAGTACATACCTGGTTCTGACACAGAAGGGCAAGATTGTTTAGTTGCTTTGCAACATCAGGATGATCTTTTCCAAGAACTTTTTCACGAATTTCTAGAGCACGCTTGCACAAAGGCTCTGCTTCTTTGTATTTTCCTCTTTTACCGTAGAGTACAGCCAGATTGTTCAGTGTAGCAGCAACCTAGACGAAACAAAATCGAAACAAAATACATATGAAGTTGTAAGCATGGAAGCCCTGTACCAGAATATGTTAGCTTTGTTGCCAGCATACTTACAGCTGGGTGGTTTTCTCCAAGAGTCTTCTCCCGAATAGCCAATGCATCATTTAGAAGATTTGCTGCATCCTTGTATTTATTTTGGTCCCTGAGGAAAGAAGCATAATAAGTAGCACAACAATCAGATAAAATTTATTTTCTCAATGGAAACGTTTATTATAAGCACTTCGCTCCGCAGGCAACTCCGTTCGGCACGGACCGGGCCTGCTTGGCCTGCCGCCGGCGTTTTGTCGGACCTACGGGCCGACATACGAGTCACTATATGTATTTCGAACAAACTTAGGCTTTCGGGGTGCCTGCGGCCCTTAAGATTAGCTCCTTGCACATGAGAAAAGACTGTAACGGTGCGACACCGTGACTACACCCCCACCCTTCTGCTTTGGAAATGAATAAAAAAAATTAAAAATAACAAGCACAGTTTTCAGTTTGTATTGTTTATCATTCAGTCTTAAAACTGGACTTTTTGCCATTGTTTTAAGTATATCGACCTCTAGCTTTGAAACGATGGAAGATACGGCAATTCCAAAGACTGATTCTGATTAAGAATGTGCTGTTTCTGATCCTCTGTCATTTTTCGATTTGAGGCCTTCTTGTACGTCTTTAAGTACAGCGTGGTCATTTTTGGCGTATTTTTTTGTCGAAAAAGCATCTCCAGCGCCCAAACGGTGAGAGATACCGGGTGTCCGGGAGAATACGCGGCAGCTCGATGGGTTGCCTACGCACTGGTGTGCAGGCGCGGAGGGCGAGGGGGGAGCGGTGGAGGTAACGGGGGGCAACCGGCTACCTCCCACCACCTCTTCCGCTGACACCACCTCTGTCGCTCTGTCGACAGACAGACAGACAGGCAGACACGAGCTCGTTTGCATAAGCCCGCTGGATAGCTTTTTCAAAGCAGAAGGGCAGGCTAAAAACGTTAACAATTCTTGCTAACGGCGAAACGAACCCACTGTTAGGGAAATTTAGTTCTAAGTGGTTATAGACAAAGCACTCGCTAATTTCTTGTTGAGTCTTTTTGCGTGGTGTCTTTGAGCATTATCGACCACAAGAGTGTGTCCGAATTCTCGAATGTGTCGACACTTTGCGATTCGTGACGACACAAATTTGGTAAGGGGAGGGGCTGGTCAGCAGGGACGGCAACCTGCAGCCATCCCTCGCGAAAGGACGTCGCGGTCCGCGGTCGTCCGCGGGGGTAGTCGCGAACCGCGACCGACCTATATCGACGACTTAAGTTTGTCGCGGTTCGCGACTACCCCCGCGGACGACCGCGGACCGCGACGTCCTTTCGCAAGGGATGGCTGCAGGTTGCCGTCCCTGCTGACCAGCCCCTCCCCTTACCAAATTTGTGTCGACACGAATCGCAAAGTGTCGACGGTCGCACCGATTTCTGTATTAAATTAGGTTTGTTAGTTTTGGTTTGCTTCATTTTATTTAAAAGCAAAGCGGATTGCTGCATTGGCAGTATCTTTACTGATCTGCTGTATTAAATTAGGTTTGTTAGTTTGGGTTTGCCTCATTGTATTTTAAAGCAAAGCGAAGTGCAACGCAGCATTGGCAGTATCTTTACCCGCACATGCCGGCCGGTGCACGGCGCCCGCAATATTACGAATAGGCAACCAACATCACAGCCGGCGCGGATGGTCATTTTCAGCCAGAGGGGATCACACGAGCGGCCCGGCGCAGATGACCGGTCCGCGCGAACCCCGGCAGCGGCGCCGGCATTTACTCCCGGCCCCCTAACTTCCCCAGGTACACGCGGCGCAGATGACCATCGGCCGTGTCGACACATTCGAGAATTCGGACACACTCCAAGTTTTAAAACTGTGCACTATTTTTCACGAGGGCGGCAAGTGCGCGCGGAGCGGACGACTAATCGGAGTAAGGTGTGCGTTTAAAAAACCGTAGACAACGTTTATCAATTTTTTTGGCTGAGACCCAGATCTCTGACAATCACGTCACGAAAAACTGACAAAATTTGAACTATAAATGGGCTCTTCCCCCTCATCCCCCAAATAGGGTAAGTTCCCTTTCCTCAATTTTGAAGTAATTTAGTCCTCGACTTATGAGATATGCAATCAGGCCAGGGGACGGAGGGCCCTACCCGTGTATCTACATCTTACTCATTAACTAATTGTCAGCGGCGCGGGCCTAGCTATGTGAGCCAGCGCTTCGTGAGATATCGCGAAGCCTCTGTCACGCGAGACGTAGTCTGGCGTAAGTATAGCTAGTACTACTGTAGTAACAAATGAAAACTGGAACTTGTGAATGTACCTGTAGACGAGGGCTAGGATGTTGAGCATAGTTGCCACATCCGGGTGGTCGTGGCCGCTCGTCTTCTCCAGGTCCTCCAGCGCCTGTTTGCAGAGCGGCACCGCCACCTCGTAACGACCCTGCGAGGCGTACTGAATCACCAGGTTGTGTAGAGTGCGTAGCCTGGCGGGGATCTCGTAGCCAGCATTCACCTGCTGAGCGTACTGGTTGGGTGGCGTAGGAGACATTGCTGCAATAAAAACCACAAAATAATTTCAGCATCAGCACCACCAGATCACCAGGTCGGCGCGAGGCAACGAGACACATGTCACCGCGATCGTCTGAGAGGAGCGACACCTGAGAAATTACCGAGGGGTAAATTACTCGCCAGCTAAATGCACACCCCTAATTCTGCCCAAATCACCCTAATTCAAACCAATTAATTATATTTAATTCAATGCAATTCAGAAATAATTTAAAGCAAATTCAGAAATAATTCAAATTAATTCATAAACAATTCAATCAATTTAGTCCAATTCACGCCAATTCAAATTCAATTAATTCCCGAACTTTGTACACCCAATTCAGAACTTATTTACCACTCGGAAAATACACAGGCACAACCATCGATTCCCGCCAGCTCTCCGATGACTCTGCTACAGGAGCGCTTATGGTTTAACTCAAAGGACGAATGAAAACTATAGTCTACTCACTGTTTCTGTCGTCCGCGTCGTCGTCCGGAAAAAGGTCTACCACAGGGTCGTCTTGACGAGGCCGGTCCGACCTGGTGGACTCCGACATGGAGTCCTCGCCCTGCACAACAAGAGAGTCAGTATGTACGCCTGGGGGTTAGGCAAACTCGCGAGGCTTCGGAGGGTAGAGAAGGGCTGGGCGTAACTCACAATTATGTCCTGGTCGTACTTTCTGATGCTCATCATGAAGTCGATGTGTTTCTTTTCTTCCTCGAGCTGTGCCACAGCCTGCTCTGAGGCCTGCAGCTTTTGCTGCGTGTTGGCAAGCTCGTCTCGCAGCCAGGCGTTCTCCTGCACCAGCCGGCGCACCTGCGCGCGCAGCTTCTGCTTCTCGGCCTCTACGATCTGGAGGTGGGACGCGAGCGCCACCATGACCTGTGACCAAAAGGGCACGTGAAGCCACCAAACTGAGAGACCGGGAGGAGAGAGGGGGTGGGTCCCAGGCGGGAGGAACTCACCTGAGCCTCGCCGAGACCCAGCTCGATGGTGTCCAGGGACTGACGCAGGATGCCGACCTTCTCGGTGCCCAGCGGCTGGTGCGCCTCGCTACCCACCGCGGCCGCCAGCCCGTTTAGGATCGAGTTGTGCTCGTTCTTGAGCGCCTCCAGACCCTGCACCACCGTCTTGGTGTTGATCATGATCTCCTCTTGCGTCATTTGCGTCATCCTGCCGATTGACTCGATCTTCTTCCTGAAAGAAGAAAAAAAAATCGGTAAGTACATCTTTTATATTTTGATCTTCAAAATAACGGTGCAACAGTCGCTGTAGCATGAGAGATGAGTGTGGAAAGGGGGGGGGCGACATTCGTAACATCTATAAGTAAGCTCCTAAGCATTGCAAAGCGACTTGGACTTGACAGCACGGGAGCAGAGCTCGGCTCGGACGAGAGCCTGGCCTGCCCGCCCCTGTCCTCGTCCAGCCGCGACCGAGTCCGCGCCACGCGCCGCCGCAAAGCAGAGGCCCAGCATGAATATTCCAGAGTGAAAACTCCCCTTTCCTTTCGTCCTTCAGCCCCTCGCCATAAATAATGCATCGCGGCATTCTGACAAGTGCTCCGGTGGCGACGGCCCGGCCGGAGGCGGCCGGAGGCGGCCGCAGGCCCAGGCGGCCAAGGCGCAGCTTGCCTTCAAGTTGGTTCAGCGGTTGGTAAACCATCCCACCCCCACCCCCTGCGGTCCAAATAGAGAGCACACCAACTGCAAAAAAAATTATGATGGGGTCGACCGCTAATTATTTTCCAGCAGATTCCGTGTATTGAGGTGTGACCGTACAAACAAGAGACGGAGCGGAGGAGCGGAGGGGTCGGACATGTTTCGTGCCGCTCCGTCTCCCCCCC